ATCGACCTGAGGGAGGCGAAGCTCTACGTGTTCGTCGACGGCTCATTCGCGAATAATGACGACCTCACATCGCAACTGGGATATGTGATAATCCTTGCCAACGAGGCAATGGGAGAGGAGAACTTCACGATCCGCGGTAATGTCATCCACTACTCGTCGACGAAGAGCAAAAGGGTCACACGAAGTGTACTCGCCTCAGAGGTCTACGGCATGGTTAACGGCGTCGACATCGCACACGCGATCTCAACGACGCTGAAGAGGATTACCGATCGACTTGACATCCCCACGATACCGACAATCGTCTGTACCGATTCGTACTCGCTGTATGAGTGCCTCGTCAAACTGGGCACCACGAAGGAGAAGAGGCTGATGATAGACATCATGGCCCTCCGGCAATCGTATGAGCGCCGCGAGATCCTCGAGATCCGTTGGATCAACGGGGACGATAATCTGGCGGATGCTTTCACGAAGGCAACGCCCAACAAGGGGCTCGAGCACTTCGTCGGCGAAGGAAGGGCGACGATACGGATGGAGGGATGGGTAACCCGCAAGGAGCAGAAGAAGGAGGAAAAGGGGGCAGCCTCGGCGAAGGAGCCCGAGATCGAATTACACTTCCAACCGCCGTAGTTGGGCGATGAAAGAGAGAGATAGTCAGTGTCGGATTGGAAGTCCAATTCGACCTCGAGGCAAGGGGCCCGCGCAGGGGCCACTTACAGACCATACTTACGAGATCTACGGTCTACCCAACCTCCGGTTAGAACCTCCTTTTTACACCTTACGCAGAAGTTAAATATATATAGATTTTGACCTCTTCGTCACCCACGGTTCGAACCATCCCTGTGATAGGAATACCAACATCCGCATTCTCCCGTTGTAAAGCCCGGCACGCTTGGACACCTTAGGTTGAAGACAGGCCTTGAGATGTCGCTATTCCTCGTAAGACCAAACTCTATGCCTTGACTGAACTGATCGGCATTGGAGTCGAGCAGTGTGTACCAGAAAATATTGAGACTCGTTTGGAAGAGGTCACATCCCACGTTTACCCAATAGATTTGAGCGTTTTCAACTGAAGCGACGGCATCGCCTTGAGATTTGCCAGCTTCGGGGGGGACAGTTAGCATCCGAAACCTTGTAAATCTCTGAGATATGATGCTTGTAAGTAAAAGCCTTACCATGCGGCCATCCAGTTTCGGTTACCCACACCTCCTTTTCCTCGCCGCATGCACTTAAATTTTGGGCAGCGACTTGCCTTGTCTGGTTAAGAGCAGACGCAAATAGGTTCGTGGCGTTCTCAATACTGTTTTGTTTATCGGACTCCCAGTAGGGGAAGGAGTTGTGGCCAAGCCATTTGACGGCTTTCACAACGGCGGCATTTTCAGGGCGAATCCACGCAGTATACGTATCGACGTGGCCAATCTGGATGGGCTTCCAGGAGGGCAAATTATTTCTGATGTAGGTTTCGAGACGCTTGATGTATCCTACAATCTCACCTGCGTCGGCGCCCTGTCCACCGGTCGTACTTCGGTACAGGTCTTCGGAACCGACGGAGATGCCGATTATTAGCTTGACAAAAGCGTCGCCATGCATGATATTAGCCATCGAAAGAGAAATAAGCTCTTCAGTGTAGTGATCATTCCCGGAGCTGGCCCAAAGACCGACCAGAATACTCGTGTTGGTATCAATAGCGGCCTTGTAAGCTGAGATCGGCTCAGCCCGAGTTGTATTGCCGCACTGGATAGAAGTATAAAGACGAGCCGAGGTAAAGTTTCGCCCCTCCGTGCTAGCCAGTGTCTTTGCGTGCTGGAAGTAGCGTACAAAATCATGGTAACCTCTGCATGACCCATCTTCGTTCGTGGCGCCATAGTTGAATCCCAGGACTCCCTGCTGAATTCCTGCTAGGGCAGTGGTAGCCAAGGAAACGGCAAATACAGTCATCAGAAACATCTTGTTCGATTGATTAGGATTGAAGTGGTTGGCAAGTTATTCGAAAGGTGGCATAATCTCGTCCTCTCCAATTCTCGTCAGCAATTACATGTTGGGCGAGTATTTGAATGCGGTGGCCATCACAATTTCCTTTGTCGCAAAGAAACAGAGTTGGGCTGAACAGCCTCCTTTGCTTGATGCCCCGTAAAGTGCGACAATTCTCCGCGGCCCCCCTCTCTTTTGTTGTTGAGAGCACTTTCTTTGCCATCACTATGACAGTTTGCCGCGACATAAAACCAACATGGCTGGTGGCATTAGCTACTCAGTGGCTTACGCATCTTCGGGTATGTCAACCTGTTCATTCATTAAGCTTACCCAGCGACATTTTGCCCGGAACACAGAATCGGTGAGATACCAAGCAGATTCCATGGAGCGTAACCACGTCACGGATATATAGATGACCTTCAAACGCTCCCATGTCCCGTCACCCTTCATTGTATAGGAAAGAGGAGACGGACAGTGCGAGAGCAATACCCATTCATCACTGGGTATGTCACGCGCAGCCCAGGCCCTCACTCTCGAGGCTAAATTATAATGGTGGTGTGATGAACCCTCGAAAGCAGCATCAATAGCGTTTTCGGGATGACCGTTAATACGTACTCAGTCCGCACTTATCATGCAAGAACGGTGACCAGGCCTAGCGTGGTATCGCAGCTGAAGTGGTATTATGGGTATTCTGGGAGGCTGTAGGGAGGTACATCTATTCTTTCAGGGGCGCGACGATCCGGACGCATTTGACCTGATACATTTCCACGCCCGCTCTTCATTTCACTTTCTTAAATCCCTGAACTTAGTCAATGTATATGCGTCGAGGCGTTTAGTAATTGAGTACTACGACTGTCTCATATATCCGATCCTTATCGGAGGTTCTGAATATAAATCCTTTTATGTGCATTGTGAGAACTTTGTTAGATTGGGCAGACGACAAGACAACGAAAGATTTGACGCGCAAAGATAGGTACCTGAACGAAGCAGTGACCAAGAAACGAGGGGGCAGGAAGATGATAGCAGGAGCGATGTGGGTGGGCTGCGCCGCTGCGGGCACTCTGTGTTTGCTCTGCAGCCACCACGAATAATGTCGTGTGTTCTACTAGCCCTATCGGCACCAAGAAATATGCTAGATGTCGATTGGGTGATATGCCGTATGTGAATTCGGGAAACGGGGCGGAGGGTGCCCTGAGATGCCACCGGGCCGGTGAATGGTCACATGAAGATGGGCGAGCTATGGAAAAGTTGACACCGTCACGACAGTCACGCGGAAGACGAGACACGATGTAAACCCAAAAACATGTGTGCAGTACACACAAATACGTGCATTCCCGTCTTCAAAACAAGATCTCATCATATTAAAGAAACGTTTCAATCTGTCCTGGTCGGTCAAAGTGAGGAATATCAAAAACATCTGATGATTGAGAAGCAAAAAGATTCACCCTCCCGGTGTTTAACTGAGGGCTACATCTTTTGGTGCACATGCTGGGAATTGTTGACCATAAATCACTCTCCCACCTATCACAGTCTGACCTGACCCGTAGGCCTAGACGGGCGCCTGCTAGTTGTGGTGACGAGAATGGACTTGAGGGGGGGGGGGGGGGGGGGGATATAAAATACCCTTCTCGTGTGTTCAGATGGAAGGACGGTAGTACGGTAGGTATGGTCTGGTCATCCTTTACCTTCCAACTCAATCGGCAAGCTGTGTAGGGTAGACGGAGCGCAATCATCACGACTCGTGTCTCTGTAGTAGCAGATTGACTACCAGAAAGAATGTGAATTCAAAAAGATGTGCCTCCGGCTGCGCCGAGCAAAACATACCATCGATTCGGCCTTGGAGTCCTCAAGCAACACTAGGATCCGCAGCATCGCCTACCGATACGGGCAAGCCGGTGGATAAGGAGGGAGAGCCCGGGGATCATTCTCTTTTGCCGAAGTACATCATTGAAAAGAATACGAAGACAACCCATATGGGTCGTCCGAATGACTGTGCCAACGGAAGATGGCAATGCTTGATGTAAATTGCTCAATGATATTGTCCTGAGATGCGATACCGAGTCTGTACATCATTTTTTGTCAGACAGGAGACCCCCGAGTGCCCAACTCTTGCTGCTGACGTGGTGACTGGCCGTCCTGACGGTAGGAAAGTTCGAGGTAGGATAGCAGCACCGCAGCGCGCGGACACCCCAAGCTTGAGACCTGGGTCAAAAGCATTCGGCAGTGACACTGCAGCAGTTCAATTGACAATGTTAATAAACTGATCAGCGTAATAGATACTGTACTGCCGTCGTGTCGAATCTGGCTACTGATGCGCTGATGACTGTTCGGACACAGCCTCTTTGTGCTGTCCCAGTCTGCCCTACCTCACGAAGACCCAGACTTCTCGGCAGCAAGTACGCCCCAGACCCCCTTGACTACTTCAAAGAGAAGGCAGTTTCGAATAAACTAGGTTTAGGTGAAGAAAGAAAGGGCCACTGGCAAATATCAACTGCCTTTCGAGGTTTGTTCTGATACCGGTGGTCAGTTTGCCAGAGATCAATCAGCCATGCTTTTCCTTCAGCTAGGTACTCTAGCTAAGCATTGATCATGGTACTATACTATCAAGTGGAAAGAATGATCTAGACTTAATAAGGGCCCTGCCGCATTCCGAAACGCTCCAAATGATCCAGATTCGTCGATTAGTTCGTGTTCTTTTATTCAGTCCGGCTGGGCGATGTTCCGACAGGACGCATAAGTGTGATGTTGATGCCAAAAAGTCTAATGACGAGGATTTGGAGGGGCGCTCGTTTATAGACTGTAGAGCATACATAACACACGACGGCAAATGCAAAGAGACACTCTATTTTTCATTGATTGATCATGGAATTTTGATTCCAGGAGCCTGATTCCAGTTGGACATCAAGCAATCTGCATAGAGTAAACCTAAGGACATCTTCTTGGACTCGCTACATCGTTAATTTCAAGTCCTTTTGCTAGTATCCCTGCATACCTTCCCCCGCAAGACAATCTCCATATAGCTGGCCCACTGCTTACATCTGGAAGCGATCGATGGCTAGTGCGAGCTCCTTAGCCTCGCACTTTGCGCGATACGCCTCGCTGAAAGCAATCCAGTTGTCGATAGCCTTGATCAAGCCAAGGATCTTCTTGGTGTAACTAGCCTCCTGAACACTGGCACCGCTACCCTCGCCGCTGTCAACACCATTGGTATCATCTCCGCCATCCTTGGCCATCTCTTCAAGGTAACTCTTGCGCGCATCGATGAAGGCGCCGAGTATCTCTTCAATCGTGGTCCACTTGACCATATCATCGGCCCAAGTCTCGGCGGGCTTGCTCTTGGCAATGGTCTGCTTGATGGAGACCTCGGCGGCAACGTTCGTCCAGAAGCCTGGCATGACGCCTCTCTGCTTTGGCATCTCCTTGAAGAGGGAATTGTCGGCGTAACCGTACTTGAATCGCTCGCATTCGTCAAGAATCATGCGCATGAAGTCGGCGATGCGGTTACCATCACCTTGGAAGTTGGAAAGCTTGCCCTCGAGCTCGAGGTAGCGGCAGATGTCAATTGTGGCCTCCTCTTCCATGAAACCGAATTTCGAGAAAGAGAAGCCGGTCTTAAAGACAGCGTGAACGATCATCGGAATACGGTTGGTCGCGATGAGGAGCTTGTCCTGGGCGGTGAGCATCGAGGACGGAACGTCGTACCAGTCTGTTCCAATGACGGGACGAGGGCCAGTGCTGGGTCCAGAGACTGTCGTATTCCCAGGGCGGTCAGCCCAAAGCCTTGATTTTTATTGACGCCGAACGAGGAAGGGAGATTACTTACTGGCGTTTCTGCGGAGGTGACGGAAACTCTGCTTCTTCTCGCGGCGGTCAACGTTGACTGTGCAGCTATGATTCTTGCTCTTGCGGAGATGCTTGAAGATGTTGAGTCTGGCGAAATGGCGCTCCTTAGAGGGGCCGGTCGGGATGGGAGTGTCGGCCGGGACAGCCGCGCTGTTGGTCGCAGCCCTTTTGACTTCCATCTTCTCGGTAGGAGCCATGGTGTACTGCAATGATGGCAAATCTGATGATGTGGAAGCGAAAGAGTCGTCGAGATCGAGGTATGTTATAATTGTTTTGACTCGGCAGCCTTCGAATCTCGATTTTCGACTATTGTTGTGTGACGAAGGAAGACTTTTCTTCAGGAAGGTTCTGCAGAGTATTTCAATAAAGAAGGAGCTGAAAGAACTCAACTCTTCCCGTCGGACTGTTCAGGGACAAAGTCCAACATTCCTCGGGCCGTGGGTGAATGTGCTGAATGTCGAGGGCCCGGCAAGGAAACATCGAGGTGATTACTCCGGAGAGGGAGCAGGGTAGCCGTGCTCGCTGCACGGTCTGAGAGTAACATTCGGCAGTAGGTTTAGACGACAGTTGTCCGGGAAAAGGTTGGTGATGATTTGGAAGACTCGCCGAGTGCGATGCTTTGCAATGTTGAGTTTTCACTTGGCTTGGCAAGACGGAGGACAATGACAGCTGAAGTTTCTCGAAAGTTGCGCCCACTTTCGGGAGGTTATCCCCTCCCAGTGTTGAAGAACCCCTGGAGAAGTCTAGACTCAGGGGCTGGGGAAAACCTTCAAGGAGTTCATCGATCAAGGCTTAGCGTACTGCGGGCCGCCGCCCTGAATCCTCGCCATCGATTCCCGAAGCCGCCGGCCTTGATCAACACAGTATGCCGTCCGAGATCAGGCAACATTGAGTTACGCTAGAGTAACAGAGCTCTATGGCCGGATGAAACGGACGGACAGTATTACCCCAAGTGGGATGGATCGGAGGCGAGATATTCGGCAAGACTTTCGAGTTGTGATGAATGCCGACTATTTAAGAAGATGGAAACGAGTTATATGAAACCAAGCCCCAATGATTTGCGGTATTCTTCTTCGCAGTCTTTCCGAGTGAAGCTGAAACTAGCGGGCGGTGCAGGCCTAGAATCTAGATCAGAGGGTCCGGCAACATCGTATCAGCACCCTTAGGGAACACATAGAGTGCCCCGCGTTGGTTGTCATTCGCAAACATTTGCCAGTGGGGCGTTGTAAGATCGAAGCTCACTCACGATTTCGACCCTTAGTATACAATGCTGACGATGAAGGAGAGGAAGCAAGATGAAAAGCGACTTTTTTCCTATTCCACTCCCTTTAACTCCCTTCTGGAGATTTTCCTGTGAGTCGTGCCTCTTTGCCCAGAGGAGTGGCATCTAATACTGCATTGAAGGCGCTTTCCGCAAAGACTCGGCCCATGTGGGAGGTAGCCAACGACTCAACCGGGCTATAAGCCCTTGACTTCGAATACCTTGATCTTGACACAAGTGATAAGGTACGTTCCATATCACAAGTCTCTGACTCTTAACTTAGTGGAACTTGAGCGCTGTAGATATGATTTGTATATTGCCAAAAAAGACTTTTTCAGTGGTCCTTGCAACCATGGGAGCCGTTGGATACCGTTCTTCCCGAATGGCATTTAGTGCTTGTGGTGATTTTCGGCATCGGTACTGATTGTAGGTAGGTACTCCCTGGAATCAAAGTGAACAGACTGGCCTAAGGATGCGGGCAACATTGGTGGGCAGAACGCCAATCGATGGGGCTTTTCACGGACTGGCAGACTAGGCATTCACCCAAAGTTACTCCATACATGTACCTAAGTACAAAGTTGAAGCCTAAGTGTACCCAAATCACTATTTTCGGCCCGGGAGGTGGGCAGGCAACCCGTAACGGAAAGGAGGGAGATAGGTATTCACCAGAAGTTTTCGTGGTCTAATTCTCACTCCTTAATTGGCCAAAAATCTTTTGATCATCGGGTTGTTAATGGGTTTGAGTTCTTTCAAGCTGTTCGTAATCCTTGGAAAGAACCTTTACTTCTTCCAATTGCCCCGCGTTGTCTGCTCGTTCCCTCAACCGTCCACGGAGTACATCGAAGTCGACTTGAGCACAGATCTTCGGCACTGCCTAGGAAGGAACGTTAATTCAACCATTCCCATGTAATAATAAGTTCACTTTTACGGAGTACATGAAGACTCTTCGGGAAGCATCCTAAGCAAGGTACCCGGTCTCCGACGAGGATCAAGAAATAGACGAGACCAAGTAGTGAGGAGCAAAGGCAAGGTCAGCAAGCAACACTGCGAGCCGTGCCGCAATTTAGCAACACTCGAGGATTCGAAGCTTGCCCTCATCTGGTTCGTGCGGTTCGCCTAGTCAAATGGGCTGTGGTCATCAGCGTCTCCTCCCAGCGATAAGGAAAGTAGTTTGTCACATATCAGATTTCGTGCACAAAACATTCACGAGCTGGAGTGGAAACTCTCGCCAGTTCTTCCCTATCTGTTTCATTTCTAGAACCAGATGAACACGAAGGCGCAGTGTGACTGGCTTCGCGGGAAACCCCAACTGGCAATTTCAACTCTTGATTTCTGACTCCCGCGCCATGCCGTTACGGAGATCATGTATCCGTGAAAGTCCTTTTCGCTAGGTACTTGAGACAGTATGAGGGGTGGCATTCCCATAGAGAGCAAAAGAGTGACAGCACATACATCTCCGGCTTCCTGGCGCCGCCTGCTATCAGCGACAGGCAATCTGCCTACAATCCCGTCTTGAATTGTGTCGCTGGATTGGGATCACTGAATTGAGGCGACCCCGAGTTCATGGTATAGAGCACTGTCTAGCTGAACTGTGTATATTGTAGCATGTAGTTCCCCTTGAAAGCCAAACCTCGCTACGGTCGATCTTTTGCGTCTGTAAAGAGGGAAACCCCAGTAACATACTTCTCCGGCTTCGGTCGAATGCACCTGAGTAAGAGGTTGACCTTTCCACGGTACCGGCATGATGTGAGAGCCCAGAGTGATACCTCTCGATAAGACAGTCAAGGGGCCGGATGCCATCGGTGTTTGATTGTCACCCGAGAGTGAGGATGGCACGGGGCACTTGAAGATTTTGAGTAGCTTCCGCACGGCTTCTGTAGGCTTTCTTGGATGTGGAGGACGGGATGGCGCATGTATGTGAGCAGCAGTGGTGGCTAGTAAGACTATACACGTATGGATCTCTCCAGACCGAAATGCCTGGCCCAAGGTCATTCGAAGAAAGACTTCGCTCCTACAAGTCCCCAATTTGACTAGGTAGAATTACAGGGAGTCCAGAGCATAGCCCGCGAGCTGTTTTAGTCTTCTAGACACCGAGTCGTGGAGTCTCAGAAGCGCTTAGTGTCTTCCCGTCGACAATCTTACATTCGGTCGCGGGAGATTGGGGAAATGGCCGATCGACAAGAAAACAACCTCGGATCGTAGCGCGTGTGAAAGAGAGTGTAGCGTGTGACGGGACGTCGTTGGGGCGTTCAAGTCTCGGCCCGCGGCGGCCCGCGCTGTCAATCCCCGACGGCGTCCTCACCTCATCTCGGTGAGTCCAGCACACCGAAAAGAGGCACTACACCGAGCGAATCCCCTCCGCCCCACCGAGAGCTCTTTTCGAGCGTCATCTCCCGCCGACTAACCCGGCCAAAGCTCAACGCGTCAGCATACACCACATCTCTGATATACGGCCCTACCGCCGACGCGGAGTAGTCAATCGCCCGTGGATTCTCTCATTTTGTCCATTTTGTTGCATAACCTAGACCTCCAAAAGCGCCTCCGCTGCAGAATACAGGATGTTTGCAAGCCGCGCCTTTGCGAGATCGCGGCCAGCTCTCCGCACAATCCGCCAACAAACACCAACAACGAAAACAGCTCTGCGAAAGAACTCTACGAACCCACCCTCCTCCTCTTCTGCATCCTCATCTGCATCATCCTCCCGCGCCGCAGACCGCATCCTCGACCGCGTCCCCCTCCGCTTCCAAAAGTACACCACCGGCCTCCGCAAAGCGCCCCTCTCCCACGTAGTCGCCTTCCTAATCCTCCACGAGATCACCGCAGTGGTGCCCCTGCTCGGCCTATTCGGTTTCTTCCACTATACAAACTTCTTACCGCTCGAGTACGTGACGGGCCATTGGGCTGGATATGTCAGGGATGGTGTTGGCATGGCGGAGAGGTACTTTAGTCGGAAGGGGTGGTTTGGGTTCGAGGCTCAGGACCGGGGTACGATGACGGGGCAGTTGGAGGGGGCGGGGGAGGGAGAAGCGAGAGAAATGGAGACTGAGAGCACGCAGGATGTGTTGGAGAGGTGGCAGAAGGATGGCAAGTACAAGGTGGTGGTCGAGGTGGCTATGGCTTGGGCGATTACGAAGGCGCTGCTCCCAGCGAGGATCCTCGTCAGCGTATGGGGGACGCCGTGGTTTGCGGGCGCGATGGGTAGGGCACGTGGAATGTTGAGATCACGTCGATAGTCACGGTACGAAGATCAAATTCATATCACTCTTGGCTTCATGGTGGCTCTTTGTTTGTGCTTTTTGATTGACCCATAACTTTTCTGTATCAACCTAACGTGGCGACAAGCATCCCACCCGTTCGGCAAGCGAACGGTGGACGTCTACGTCTCGTGTATAATGGCGGAATAGAGAAAAAGCATTTAAGGCTTCTCGTAGACCCAGTCGAACTGGGAAGACTTGTAGGAGACGACATCGCCATCCTTGAACCAGAGGGCAATCTCCTTCTTGGCGTTCTCGACGGAGTCGGAGCCGTGGCAGACGTTGCGGCCGACGTCGATGGCGTAGTCGCCACGAATAGTGCCGGGGGCGGAGGCAAGGGGGTTGGTGGCACCGAGGAGAACTGTGAGGTGTGTTTTAGTATGAGGTTATTCGGCTGCGGGTGTGGTAGAGGGGATTCGTGAGGGACTTACCACGGCCAGTCTTGACGGCGTCACGGCCCTCCCAGACCATGGCGCAGATGGGGCCAGAGTTCATGTCTGTTAAAGTGTTAGCTTAAGATCAAGATCACAGTAGGGGAGGCATTGAAGACGGAACGTACACTCAATGAGGCCGGCGAAGAAGGGCTTGTCCTTAAGGTCGGCGTCTAGCAGATGGTTAGCTTTATTTTGTGGTACGGCGGGGAGGTGTTGACGAACAGTGGGCCTGGAGGTGCTCCTTGCCGGGGGTCATGAGCTTGATGGCGACGAGCTTGAAGCTGTAGGAGTCGTGTTAGAGATCACGAACTTGGTCAGAGTAGGGCATCGACTGGGAGAAAACTTACCCACGGGTCTCGAAGCGAGAGACGATAGGGCCGATCAGGCCGCGCTACGGGAGGGTCAGCTTGCTATGCATTGCAATTGGCGAGAGCTAAGTGAGATGGAGCGTACCTGAACGCCGTCAGGCTTGATGGCAATGAAGCTATCTCGAGGTCAGCTTTTTTGTTCTGTTTCGAGGTGGTGATGTGTGCCCCTCTTCTGCCCGAAACCTTCCACGATGGCGGGGTAATTTCAGGGTAGCGGCGGGAGCTCTCAAAGAAAAGTAAAACAGCATGATGCGGCATTGCGATGCATGCTAGCTCGATGGGCAGGGAGAGATTGGATTGGGATGTGTACTCACGTCTGCTCGGTAGACATTTTGGGAGAGGTATCAACGACGACTGTGGGAGTTGAAGATGGTTGATGTTCTTGGTAGATTGTGGTGGTGACAACGGAAGGGGCGACGGGAGGAGAAGAAAGGTCTGCTGCTGACCGCTGGTTTTGTTGGCTCGATGAAAAAATAATGTACAAACCGAAGAGGAGAGCGAGAATTATGAAAGTTGGTGGGGGCAGCTTCTCTGCTGTCCTGCGGGCGTATTCGGGGAAGCTCTCGGGCGCTGGTGCCTTTGCATTATTCTGCTGCGGCTTCTTGTGCTTCGAGGCGGGGTCATTGTCCTGCGCGCCGCCAGTGCGGTGGTGGGGTTCCGAATCAGCCATTGGATGGAGTTGGGTGAAGATGTGGAGACGATGGACAGTGTCGTAAGCTTCTGATACGGCAGTTTTGGAACTGTGAGCCACACCGCCTAATTTTTATTTTGACAGCTCAGCATTGATGGCAACCAAAAGGTGGAGGAGGTTCGGCCAACCGAGAGGGTGATGGGAGGTGTGAAATGGCGTTAAACCAAGGGGAATGTTCCTTACCTATAGCACTTGAAATACAGAACGCCAAGCTCAACTTTCTTTTCTTTGAAACGTCACATGCAATTGACCTTGAATCTCGCTCAGAAGAAGCTCCGAAGTCATGCAGCTTTGGGTTGATACATAAGTAAATAATCGTGGTGCGTGTTGATTCTTGTTGTCAGGTACGGAGTACGAATCAGGTACCTATGTTCTGTCTCATTGCATCTCAGATAATCCCTTAACGGGCACCACAGGCCCCGCGCGAAATTACTGGCTATCTGAAGTATACTGCGGGTCCCGTTCGCTCATCCTGGTCCCAGTATTTCGGTCTGTCACTGCCACTTCACCTGACATCAGAAGAGACCCGACAGAAAACTGATTTCCTGCTCACGTGTATCGTCGTCCTCAACATGACTAGAGACGTTTCCAGTGAAGACGAAATTCTTTTTGGACTCGTTGTACAATGGCCAGTTTGTCCCGTTGACTACTATGCTTAACGTCAATAGCCATCCAATGCTAACGAGGCTCTTTGGACTATTGAACTCACCGGTTCCATTGCTATTCGGGTCACCCGTTGCAACAAAGTTAGCCCATGCCGTTGCCATGATTGAAGCCAGGTCAGAGAACGATTGAGGCTTGTCAAGCAAAGGCCAGACGTCGTAGTCGTCTCTGCTCTGGTCGTTGAAGACGAAGAATATCTCTTTCGCATGGGTTGCGCCAATGTAGCGAGGTAAACCGCTGACGATGACGTCCCATCGATACTTGTAGAGACTGTGTGCCAATTGCGTCAGCAAGTAACCAGCGATCCAATGCACCAGTACAGGTGTACTTACGGCACGTTGTAGGCCGCCCACATCTGAGCCGTGTAACGAGTCGGTGCAATGATGTTAGAGTCGCCCGCGAGTGTGACAGCCCTCTTGTACTGATAACCGAGTTCAGCGCCGAGGTCGCCGGAATACGTGGCTAGAGCTTGGTCGGCTGCATTTTGAGGGTATAATTCAAACAGCCGACTTGCCACCGTCTCATTAGCCTTGAGCGACACAATGTAGTCACTGAACTGCTCATCCGTGTCGATCTTGGATGTGGGATAGAACGTGGCATTGTCAAAGTTGTTGCCTGGCAGAAAGGCAGATCCTTCATCTGTGTTGTGGCCGATGATGTATGGAACCTTGACAAAGTTGCCCTTGGCCAATTGCGCTCCTGGGGCATCGGCAACGAAATCACCGTCGAACACTTGAAGCTGTCAGCCCAAGTCTGATACAAACACACGAATACGCTTATCTAGACCGTAAGAAGCCCCTGAAGTGGCTGTCGAGTTGATCACGGCGTTCAAAACATCGATTGGGACGTTCCTTAGACAATCAAGCGTATCTGTCGTATTACATCCTGTATCGGCTGTAATATTCTCATAGACTTCGTCCCACTTTGCAACATCGAGGACTAGAGCTGGTTAGTCCACCGGTTTCGGCTCAAGATGTTTGCCCTGGGGAAGCCAGACTTACACGGCGAGAATGGCGAGAAGCCCGCAGGAGCTCCTGACTGAGATATTGCACCTCTGAACAGTCCGTCATCGCGCCCGTTGTATGCCAAAAGTTGAGCACCGACAGAACCTGCACCCCTATAAACAACAAATCATTTATTTGTTATTCTCAAAGAGTCACTGTGTGAAGTGAAAAGAACATACGCGCTGTTACCAAATATCGTTACTTTTGTAGGATCTCCCCCAAAAGCAGCAATGTTCTCTAGTGAAGAGTTAGCTGTCGATGCTCTAACCAGGTGCTTTCAGTGGCTACAACTTTCCTTGTACCCAGTGAAGTGCCAATCTCTGATCCCTAAAGCCAAGGTTTGCGGCTCCAGCAGCGACAAGTTCTGATCCTCCTAGGAACCCAAAGGCAGAAAGGCGATAGTTAAAACTGACACCAATAATGGGCTTCTCTGCTGTGACGGAGTCGCGAATGATTGACGAGAAGTTCAGCCGGGGATCAGCACTGCCACCTTGGAAGTAGCCGCCTCCATAGATGTACACGGCGACCGGTAGTGATTGGTCTGTGTAGTTGGAGGGGCGAACGACATTGATGCTCAGGCAGTCCTCGGAGACCTTGAAGCCAAGCGCCGCGAGCCTGTTGTTGTCATTCTAGGAACGGTGGATTTAGCTCCCATGCAGGACGTCCATCCAGCGCAGAAATAGAAAGTTGGCCCGCTTTGACTTACACCGTAGCCGTAGCAAATATTGCCGAATTGAGTTGCATCTCTCGATCCAGTCCAGGAGGTATTCAATGAAGCTGGTGGCGAGAAACGAAGGTGACCCTGAACAGGAGGCTGCGCGAACGGCATGCCGAGGAAATAGTCTTGATTGAGTAAAGGCAGATGAATGCCAGTGTAAGAGCCATTTCTGGTTTGGACTTGCGGTGCCTTTTGACAGAGGGCACCGGAAACCACAGAAAGTAACAAGACTAGTAGGTGGACCATGGTTACTGAAATGAAGTTGATGCCCAACTATTACCACTTGGGATTATCGTGGGATCTTGCTTCTCTTTTTATCACTTTTACTCATGCAGCGTGAGCAGAATATCATACTTCTTCGCCATCATTGTCCAGAATCCCGTCACGACTCTTGACTCGTAACCCTGTCTTGATGACTGTTTCTTGGCTATTTCCGTGTCGCTTAAAGCAAAAAAATGCTGGATCTCCTTCTGAATTGAGGGACTTGCAGGCGGCTCTGATTCTTTCTGGTGATAGATCATGTTACTGACCGAGCAAGCCTTTCCGGGGCATCCGTTTTTTGCCGCAGTACCCGGCAGTTGTTCTCGGAATCGGATTGAGCGTTGTCTTGATGGTCGTCAAGATATGCAAAGGAATCGTCAAGGACCGAGCCAACCCGGCTTTGAGAGCTCCACACATCATCGCATTTATGACCGGGCCGGGACGGGGCGGATTCTGAAGATCGAGCTGGCGGCAAGGGACAGTAACCAAAAGGTGATTCGGCATATTACAACCCAAGACAATATATTTCGAGCACGATTCAAGATAATATAAGGACGGACAATCATGGACGGTCTCTGGCGCTGGACGACATCACAGGTCATGCTCTCGCGTGCTTGCCTAACCACACTATTGCACAGTCACGACATGCTTATAATACCGATAGCACGAAAAGTAAAGACGCATACAACACATAATCATGGAGATAGAGAGAAGCCAGTATTAGCTATCTCCCGAAGAAAACGACCGAGTCCTCATCAGGAGTATCATCCGCCAACAATGCATGTGGTCTGGAAAATCGAAAGTTGTCTGCTCCCATGGCGGGGTAGATTTAATTAGTGGGATATATGCAACTATCAAACTTCTAATATCTGATTAAACATTTGCTGTCCGACAGACCCCTGTCTCCCGCAGCTCGACTACTCAAGCGACCCGCGCTAAGCCCAAAGTGTAGCTAGTCAAGGGGACAGCTGTTGAACTCAGGCCGTCTCACCTTCACAAGTACCTTCCACCCAAACGTCACCAATTCCTCCCACCCAACCCGATCCAAAAGGTACCATAACCACCATAAAAATCGCGACGCGAGAGCACCACAAAGAATCGCCTTCTTTTTTGCTCTCACTCCCATGTTCGCTTCTTGATTCCAAAGTTTCTTCTAGCAGTTCCTTCAATTCTTTCGGACGAACAAACAATCGCCACACCCCTCCGCCATGGGGACCATCGGCAAGTCGTCCTACAAATGGACGACCTTCTTTGGTCTACTGGCGGCACTTAGCTGCATGATCCAGCCCGCAGGTATGGCATCCCGTGACGCAATGACCTTCCTTCTACCTTTTTTGTGTCGGATTCACGTCACATGGTTCCTCCATTGATAGTCCTAGTGATACTGACAACGGAATCGCAGTCATGGTTAAGGAAAATGACTTCAAGAAGTGCCACCAGTCCGGCTTCTGCAAGCGCAATCGCGAGTATGCCGATAACGCCGTCTCCCAGTCCTCGACCTGGGCCGCCCCCTACAACATTATCCCCGACTCTGCCACCCTCAAGGATGGCCAACTTCAGGCTGTCATCCTCAAGACCATCAACGATGCCCAGGAAACCGTCCGCCTCCCCATCACCGTCTCCTTCCTCGAATCCGGCACCGCTCGCGTAACTGTTGACGAAGAGAAGCGCCAAAAGGGAGAAATCGAGCTGAGAAATAACAGCCCTGCCCGCAAGGAGCGCTACAACGAGGCCGAGAAGCATGTCATTGTCGGTGGCCTGAACCTCGACAAGGAGGCCAAAGTCGCCTACCAGGACAAGGACCAGATTACCGTTCAGTACGGCCCCTCCTCAAAGTTCGAGGCTGTCGTCAAGTTTTCGCCCTTCAGCGTCGACTTCAAGCGGGATGGCTCTTCCCACATCAAGCTGAACGACCGCGGTCTGCTCAACATGGAGCACTGGCGCCCCAAGGTCGAGCAGCCTGCTGAGGAGAAGAAGGAAGGCGACGAGAACGCCGAGGTCGCTGAGAAGGCCGAATCTGTCGAAGTCAAGAAGGAGGACGAGAGCACCTGGTGGGACGAGACTTTCGGCGGCAATACTGACTCCAAGCCCCGTGGCCCCGAGAGTGTCGCCCTTGACATCTCATTCGTCGGATACGATCACGTTTTCGGAATCCCTGAGCATGCTGGTCCCCTGTCTCTGAAGGAGACCCGTGGCGGTGATGGCAAGTATTCTGAGCCCTACAGACTCTACAACTCCGATGTCTTCGAATACGTTCTCGACAGCCCCATGACCCTCTATGGAGCGATTCCTCTCATGCAGGCGCACCGCAAGGATTCCACCGTCGGTGTCTTCTGGCTCAACGGCGCCGAGACCTGGATCGATATCACCAAGGAGAAGAGCTCATCCAACCCCTTGGCTCTTGGTGTTGGCTCCAAGACCAACACAAAGACCCACTGGATCTCGGAGGCCGGCATCCTCGACGTTTTCGTCTTCTTGGGCCCGACACCCAAGGACATTTCCAAGACCTATGGCGAGCTCACCGGCACCACCGCCATGCCCCAGGAGTTCTCCCTTGGCTACCACCAGTGCCGTTGGAACTACATTTCCGATGATGATGTCAAGGATGTTGACCGCAAGTTTGATAAGTTCAAGATTCCGTACGACGTCATTTGGCTCGATATTGAGTACACCGATGGCAAGAAATACTTCACCTGGGACGCCGACATGTTCAAGGACCCCATCGGCATGGGCAAGGCTCTCGACGAGCACGGGAGAAACCTCGTGGTCATCATCGATCCCCATATTAAGAACGAGGGGAAGTACGATATCACCGAGCAAATGAATGCCAAGGGCCTGGCCGTCTTGAACAAGGAGGGCAAGCCTTTCGAGGGTTGGTGCTGGCCTGGTTCCTCTCACTGGGTCGATTGTTTCAACCCCAAGGCCGTCGAGTGGTGGACTGGTCTCTTCGACTACGCCGCTTTCAAGGGCACCATGGAGAACACATTTATCTGGAACGACATGAATGAGCCCTCTGTGTTTAATGGACCCGAGGTCACCATGCCCAAGGACAACATTCACCACGGAAACTGGGAGCACCGTGATGTGCACAACATCAACGGCATGACCTTCCACAACGCCACCTTCGAGGCTCTCCTCACTCGCAAGAAGGGCGAGCTCCGCAGACCCTTCGTCCTCACCCGCTCCTTCTACGCTGGCTCTCAACGTCTCGGTGCCATGTGGACCGGAGACAATCAGGCCTCGTGGGAGCACCTTGGCGCTGCCGTTCCCATGATTCTCAACCAGGGCATTTCCGGATTCCCCTTTGCTGGCGCTGACGTTGGAGGCTTCTTCGGTAACCCCGAGCCTGAGCTGATGGCACGCTGGTACCAGGGCGGGGCTTTCTACCCCTTCTTCCGTGGTCACGCTCACATTGATGCCCGTCGCCGCGAGCCCTACATGCTTGCGGAACCGTTCAGAGGTATCCTCACTGCCGCCATCCGCCTTCGCTACAGCTTGATGCCGTCATGGTACACTGCCTTCTTCCACGCCCATCGCGACGGCAGCCCGATTGTTCGCCCCATGTTCTGGACCCACCCCACGGAGGAGTCTGGCTTTGCCATTGATGATCAGCTGTTCGTTGGATCGACTGGTCTCCTCCACAAGCCCGTTGTCGAGAAGGACAAGGAGTCTGTCGATATCTATATCCCCGATGACGAAGTGTACTACGACTACTTCACCTACGAGAAGCTCGCGACCAAGAAGGGCCAGTACCTCGCCAGGGACGTTGCTCTCGACCAGGTCGCGCTTCTGATGCGTGGTGGCCATATTTTCCCGCGCCGTGACCGCCCCCGCCGTTCGGCCAAGCTCATGCGCTTCGACGACTACACCCTGGTCATGAGTGTTGGCAATGATGGCCAGGCCGAGGGTGAGCTGTACGTCGACGATGGAGACTCCTTCGACTTTGAGAAGGGTCAGTACATCTACCGCAAGTTCAAGCTTGACGGCAAGACCATTGCATCCTCCGACGCTGAGGGCCGTGACTCGAAGTCCGTCAAGGCGGGCTCTTGGCTCAAGGCCATGAAGGAGGTCTATGTCGATAAAATCATCGTTGTCGGCGCTACCAACCAGCTCAACAAGAAGGAGGTCACTGTCACGTCAGAGGGCAAGAGCTGGACTGTCCCTGTTCAGTACCATACTGCTGAGAAGGGCCGCGCCGCCTACGCTGTGGTAGGCAGAGTTGCTGCCCGTGTTGGAGAAGACTTCAGCATCGCGTTGGCTTAGGACCGTCCAAGGATACGAGTTCACCGTCCAAGGATGAAGAAGCATCCTTGAGTTGGTGCAACTGCTCTCACGTGCTTCGTCGTTGAATCCTTCGACTGTGATATCTGGAACGGCAGAACACGACGGTCAGGAAATCTGAAAACGATGGAGACGTCTGAGCGGTGAAGCACACTAAGAATAGAGATAGTGAGCTCCACAGATCGCCACAAGGATTGACGATCGCGAGGCTTAGCAAGTCATCAGAGCGCTCCATTAGAGAGAGAATTGACGAACATGTTCATAAAGATTGCCAATTGCTCAACTTGAGCATAAAGTTCTCGCCCCTCCATGATTCTATGTGATTTCGGTTAGCTAATCTAGAACTGGGTCGACAGCGCGGGAGAGTACCGGTGCAACGTTTGTCGGGGGTCTTCCGCTAGATGGGGCAGACTCCGTGGAGCCTCATTCCCAAGTTTCCGCTCGAGTCTCGAGACCTCCGTCCCTCCACCCCAGAATTTCTGCCTTCCGCATCGACAAGGTCCGCGATAGCGTGAGGCGAGGTCTAGGACTTCAGGGCTAGGCTTCTAGCCCCGGAACTCCACATACCTAAGGGAGCTTGTTAAGCTTCAACCAAGAACACAGCCTCGCTCGCTTGCGCCGGTCTTCATTTCCCTTGTGGATTTCGGGGATACAGGATATTTGGAGAGCGGTTGACCTCCGAACGAGTGGGTTTCTTCGATGAAGAGGCTGATCTTGATGGAAGCATTGGTCCAAGACCAGTTTACGAAGGACACGAGCGCCTTTCATCATTCCAGAGACCTTGTGGTTCTGCATGTACTGTAGATTGATTATCAGGCAATCAGCCGCAAATCGATAATGGAAGGAGTGCGAATATTTGAACTGTTTGGGTGTAGTCTACGCGAACATTTACAAGCACAGCTGGCCTCCTCGCTGGAAGATTTGCTTGAGACGACTCTTGCGCAGCTTGGCTCCAGTCATAAAGACCTCCTCATTTGTCTTTGGCGAGCCCAAATCATCCGGCGAGAGCAAAGGTGCGCAATGCTTCCACCACTGCTCAACCTTTTCGTCGGACGGGAGGTTGCTAACTTCGCCGCTAATGGGCGCACCGACAGTGATATCGGAAATGGGAAACGTCTCGCTCTCGTCCGTGAGGGGCTGGATGGACTGCCAGTTGCGGAAGAAGTTCTTTGGGTCCCACTTTGTCTTGATCCTTTGCAGGCGGGGGTAGTTGTTCCCGTAGTACGCCTCCTGCCAGTTGCGCACGGTGCCGTCAATGTAGTTGATATACGCCGCCTTTTGCTCGATTGCGTGGGGCAAGAGTTCTTTCTTGCACCTGGCGACAAATTTCATGATGTCGTCGGCCTTGCTCTTGTCTGTCCACTGTACCTTGATAGTGGTTACGTAGTGCCCCTTCCGCCATGGGAAGGGGGTCGCATCCGGCGCGACGGCTTCGGTCCTGGCGCCGATATGGTCCCAGAGAATGTGGCACTTGGGATCATTGACCAAGTTCTCGGCCGTGGCGTCTACCACGTGGAGTGCCTCCTCGATGAGCCTCGAGATTTTAGTAGTGACTTCGTCCGTGATGGCGCCCTCGGCGAAGATGAAGGACGCATGGTGGTGGTAGACTTGGCTCTTTGGGTCCCAGCCCTCGGCCTGATGCACCCAGTCGGTCCAGGCCATCTCCTTGAGGGTGTTGACGGCGGGTTCAAAGGCGAGCAAAGGCTCCAACGCCTTTTGAGCCTTTTCCATGCCGCCATTGTAGATCACGGTCATACCGCCTGTCTGTTGTTTGTTCTTGGTATGAGACCATAGCGCGTCGATGGTCAGCTCGGCTGGGCACTTGTTGGTATTGAAGACGTTCATCATCTTCTCAAAGTCTTCTTTTTGCTGTGGGAGATTCCACTGGAGCTGGCCGCAGACAACTTTGCCCTCATCATCCCTGAGTTTGTGCATCCTGCTCGTCAAGCTGACCGTAACTCCAAAGTTGCCACCGCCGCCGCCTGCCAATGCCCAAAAGAGCTCCCGCTTCTCTTCGTCTTTATCCTCCCGGGACACCGTGATGACCTCGCCCTTCCAGGTGACGACAGTCATCTCAAGAAGGTTATCGCAGCCCAGGCCGTAGCTTCGCGAAAAGGGGCTGAGGCCCGCGCCGAGTGTAAAGCCGCTGACGCCGACGGTCGGGCACTGGCCGCCGATGACGATGTTGCGCTTGTCTTTGAGGTACTTGTAGTAGACGTCCTTCCAGACGAGGCCGCCGTCCATGCGGATAAGCATCTTGTCGTAGTCGATATGGCACGTGTTCATGAGGCTGAGGTCGAGGACAATGCCGCCCAGGTTCAGGCAGTAGCCCATGTACGAGTGGCCTCCGTTCTTGACGGTTAGGCGTAGGTCATTTTCGCGGGCGAAGTCGATGGTGGAGACGACATCGTTTGTGGACTTTGCCTGGACTACTACGACTGGGGTCGTGAGCCTGTAGTTGAGATTGCCGATGAACACTTGAGGGTTTTGTCTTCTCAGTATAGAACCGCCGATATGGTTTGCGGGTGTGGAATCGCGTGACGCGGGAAAAGCGGTTGATCCATCACTTACCGGCCTTTCATACTGAGGTGTTCCTGGTTCGAGCACTTGCGCGGGGGTGAGTGTCTGCTTGAGGATATCGATGTCGACCATGGTCGCAGTCAGAAGTTTGCTTGGTGATAAAAAGTTAATGGAATGAGAGTGTTTGGCCAATAAATTATAACTGTCCCCTACACCCGAGATGTTGATAGGATCCGAGTTCGACAGTAACAGAGCTCGAAGCCCGTTTTTATAGTACTTCGTAGACGTTGGCTTGTACTTTTTCGTTCAAGTTCCAGTATATGTATGATACCCATGTATCTTCCTCCCAAGCTCTCAGCCACGACTTGCCATTTGCTGATAGTGAGACAGCACTACTGATTTGTACACGCATCCAGACTCTGGAGGGGATTCAACCTGGCTGACCGATCACTTCAGCCAGCCGCATTGTAATTAGAGTAATGCTAATCGTGTATGTTGTCAAGATCGCCCTGCGGAACGGCCCTCACCGGCAGCTCAGCTCTTCCGCAATGTCTTAGGCGGAAGTGCGGGGAAACATCTAGACTGGAGCCATGGGCCGGGGATTGGGTTGGGCACAGTTCAGCTGCGACGCCTCAACGTCCCATCCCATCCGTCACATTATGCTACCATCAGCAGTGTCTTAAGGTTGGAAAAGCCAGAATTTCAGTTGAGCGGTCAACCGAAAATGTATGAAGTCCCAAAGGCTAGAGGATTCTAAATGCCCGGTTCGAGGTGCACCCCCGGATGAAATCGCGCTCTTATTTCTTCACTGCCCTACGCATGCTGTTTTTCAAGCGCCGAATAAACCTCAAAGCACAGCTTCTCTGCGGAGATTTTCCCGTCGCGGTTCAATGCCATTGCTTCCATGACCGGCTGCGGACCCAGCTTGCCCATGATCTTCACAGGGGGTGGCGAGATGGATTTGCTTTGGAGTAAGCTCGGAAGCTGTTCGTAGAGCTCGGCGCTGAGAATATGGCTTGGCATTGAAACCTGCGGATATGAATATGATAAGTCAGCACATCTAGACGGACCTCCAGGGCATCATGACATGACACATCGTGAGTCAATACGGAGCAAGTCAAGACGTACAGGCCAGTTCACTAGTCCGCGATACGTGTGTGCAGTCGGAAACGCGGTGAAGACGAAGACGTCAGTCACTTTGATGTTGCTAGGAACACTATCTGTATTTGCTTTGCCTGGGCGGACCGTACAAAGGACTCCAGGTCTGCCGTTTAGAGCAGCGGCTGCGGTCGCCGAGGAGATTGTGTTACCGATGGTGTCGAAGACGTGGGATAGCTTCGGCAGTGTGGTCTGGAGGTTCGAGACTACGTCAACATCGTTGTAATCGAAAACATAGGTAGCTCCTGCATTTTTGACGTAGTCAAAGTTGCGTGGGCTGCAGGTGGTGGCTACGGAGTACCCATGGAGCTTGGCTAGTTGTATGGCAAAGTATCCCACGACGGCTATATTGGGTTCTTGTCAGCAGTCTGGCAGAGTCAAGTGGAATGATAGATCGTTGCGAATCTTACAGCTGCCGCCCCAGATGAGCACGGGAGGCTTGGTGGTAAATACATCTCGCGACAGGCCGAGGCAATCCTCGGAGAACAGCGCAAGGTACGCAGTATTTGCGGCGAGCGGAATGGCGCAGGCCTTGAGACTCTCGATGGTGCTCGGAACTGTGAACGAGATGCGTTCGTCTGCGATGCAATAGGACCTATGTGGTTCAGAAAGTTAGAAGGGACACTGCTTGAAGTAGACGTGATTTATTACTCACGAGTACGCCCCAACACCCTTGATCTCTCCTATGGAGTGTAAGTCCAAGGTCAGTATGGCAGAGTCTGTGAGAATCCTAGAATGACTCACCACCCCAAACTAACGCGGCAATTCGATCACCAACTTGTAATTTGCTCACATTTGGGTGGGCTCTCGTCACTGTACCGACAAAGTCACAGCCTAGAACAGCACCATCTCCAAATGCATCGACATCGAACGCAAGTCCTGTTTGGGAATCAGCAAGCTAGAACTCTGAACACTGTGCCGGAGTCAGAGCCGACTGAATTGAGGGGTTTGGGTATCATAGTCTGCATGGCATACTGTCTGTGGGATTGAATGCTGCCCATTCGACGGCGACGTAGACTTGGTGAGGTTGCAGCTCCGGTAGAGGGACGTTTTCCACAACCAGCTGTCGGTTCTGTTGAACGACGGCAATGGCGTTTGTGGGCGTTGCGCGCTCATCGGCCTGGTCTGCGGCATTCATATGGTAAGAGGGAAAGCTTGTCGAAAAGTTACAGATGAATTTACAGGCGAAGTTGACGGTGGAAGGCAGGTGAAGTTAAAACTTCGGACTGACTGCTATGCACTTGTGCACATTGCTCTCCGTCCGACATTTACCCCTCTTACTCACTGTTCCCCACCAATTGACCAACGGCTCTTCTTCCGTCCTACTCGAGAGCCATCCGATAGTGGCATTTGAACTAGCCCCGAGGTTTGACAGCTCATAGGTGTAGCGACGCGCCTTGCCAACCTGATTTCGGTAATAGGCGCGGAGATCTCCGATACTACCAAGTTCTCCCCAAGCGTTCCCCTCAGGAAACCTCTCCAGCTCGGCCTTCATGTCGCGACCGAAACGCTTCGCAACTTCCACCACCAGCTGGCGCTCCGTATCAGAGTGGGCAGTAGCATCTCTGGTTATGCCTTAAGTACTTCCTGGTACATACGTAGTCGTGTACGATATGTGGTTGATAATCTCGCGTGAGCTCGCCCCCGTAAACCGTCTCAGGGAGTACGGCGTCACGGCTCTTAACCCCGGGATGTCTCCGAGTATCCGAGCCAGCGTAACACAGATGAGGCCATGATGTAGGTTCGTCACACTCACACTTATGTCTCTGCAGGTCTTTATGACTCGAGACATCTCGTCGTGGGTAAGAGTGATAAGCCGTATGCGGGATTGAAAGTCCTCGACAGAGGGTAGAGAGACAACACTGCCACCCCACACGTCTTGGTCTTCATCTTCCAACTCTTGAGTATGAGATGGCCCTGGTACCAGGAAGTCGATGGTATAGTCTACCAGGTGAGGAGCGGGCCAGTCGCCTGGCAGGATTACGGGCCAGTCAGTCAGTTGACTTTCTCCAGGTGCAGTTGACAGGTTCTTCATCAAGCTTGTGTGGAAGGCGAGTCCACTCAGACCATCGGCAATTGCGTGATGAGCAACAAATGCCACATGAATCATTGTCTGGTCGGTTCCAATCTTAGTAGATTCTTCCGGCTGGAGAATAGGATACCTGTGGAGAAGGATGATGGCTCTCTAGGCAGGTCTATCGGGTACCCAAGTGTCAGAATGGGCACTATCGAGTGCTTGATGAAATTGCATTTCTGGGTAATGCCCAGTTTCGTGTGTGTTCGTCTCAAGAAAAGTTGCGACATGATCCTTTTGAATGGATTGGAGTTGTTCGAGGACTGGCAGTGAGCTGCCTTCGTGATTGACCAGACCGTAAGAGAGACCTGAATGAGAGAGAATAGTGGCCTGGAGGCTATTCTCGATTCGAGTCCGAAGGAACTCCACTGAGGATGAATCACCAAATAAAGATACCCGGTAGCGTGCTGCGACGCAAACCGATCGATAGTGCCCAAGTTCATGGCGCACAGCATAGTATGCGCCCAGAAGGCCTATGGTGATTGGGCATTAGTTTCGACGCCGCGGACTCTGGATTATTCACCATCGCGGGAAGAGAACTATACCGAGAGGGAAATTGTTCCTATTCATGAGTATCAAGAATGGGTACAGGCCTATCATATGATAGACGTATGAATGCTCACAGAGGTTTCGGGGTGGTTGCATGTTTGCATGTTACAAGGGCAGCAGACGCCGGTACTTATACGTAAAATCGGGCGTACTCAACCCTAGATGGTCCTTCTTATCGCTGCTAAAGGTGGCGAGAAATCTTTGCGGGCCTAATGCAAGTAGAGAAGAGTGCGTGATGAGACAAAGATAACATCAAAAGGTCAATAAGCAGGGACTTTGATAGCGGAATCTTATATTGTACCCCTCATTACAATCTTATGCGCTATGAGATAGCTACTGAGATGCATTCTCCAAACCCTCATCAATGACTACTCGCCATTCATGATCCTCCTCGCCGTATTGTATCCCCCTAAGCCATCCCTTGATAGCAGAGGCATAACATTTCGTGTTTTGCTCGTCAACATCAGGCATCAGGAGATCACGGCCTAGGAAATGAATCAAAAAGACCGCCGTAATGAAGAACTAGACGTAAGAAATATCAGAATCTGAATCCACAGAGCCCTTTGTATTTGTGGGAAAAGCACTCACAACAGTCCCAGACACGAACGTCTCGAGGAGCCGGCCGTCCTCTATCAGCTCATGCATCGTAAAGTTCCTCTCTACAATCCCTAACTCATCAGACAACCTTGACCGAAACAACTCCAAAACAGACCGCTTAGTGACTCCATCCAATATCAAGTTCTCCGTAAGCGGCGCTTTGAGGAGCTCTGTCCGGTTCGTCGCCGCGTTCCTAATAACGGCAAAGAAGTTGCTGGCCCCGGCTTCCGTGATCAGACAATCGGGTCCAAAAATCCATAGAATTTGGTCAAAGCCCAAGCTGAGAGCTTGTCCATGGGCTCGAAAGGTCGTGCCGTAGTTGGCTCCGACTTTGGCATACCCAAATCCTCCCGGCCAGGCTCGGATGGTGTCCCCGGCGGAAACACAAAGTCGCGGACCGAGCCTCGAACGAATGATGCCCGGAGGAGTCTCGGTGGAGAAGTCTGGCCAGGGGAACATGATGATGTAGAGTGTTGCCTCTGCGGGGAGTTAGTTGGACACCGATTTGCTCGTCGGTTCCGACTAGGGAAGGCCGAATGTATAGGAATCGACCGGCGGCTTCTTTGGGAAGCCATCCTGTGTTACACATCTTAGTAAGACGCATAACGCGAATTTTCTTCTTTGAGGCACTGCTAATGGAAAGCGATCTTCCTTGGGGCGTCCACGCGCACGAGTTACTTGATCAACTCAACCAGCGCACCCTCATCGAACGACGGCAAAGCTGCGCGCTGGGCACTGGAAACCAACCTCTTGGCGTTACAGTCTGGCCTGAAGAGCCTCAGCTTGCCATTAAAGCCACGATAGACTTTCATGCCCTCGAAGCATTGTGTGGCATAGTTGAGACAAGATGCAGCCGGCGAGATGGACAGGTTGCCAAAGGGCCGGATCAAGGGTGCCTCTCAGCCGCCCTCGACTGTCCATTGGCAGGTGACGATGTGGTCGGAGCACATGTTTTGCGCCCATAACTCTTTGGAGCCATGTTGGGGGATCGGACGCTCATTTGAGGATCTGACCAGAGAAATCTTAGATGCATCCAATTGCTTGGGCGTGGGACTCTGCGATTGGAGCGACATGTTGAACAGAGGAAGAACCGTAATCGTACACACCTTACACCACTACGAGTGGCCATCTCGGTATCCCACCCAAGGAAGGCCATGACATATCCCAACGGTCACAAGTCGATATGACATGATGCTTTAAGCTCCAACCCACCTGTCGTTGCCGTAGGGCGTACTTGGCATCTGCATCCCGATTGCGCATGAAACACCCGAGTCTAAGTTGAAGAGAGGTGAGCCGTGATAGAAAACCGCAATAAGGAAACAACGACGCTTAGATAAACTAGTCAGCTGAAAACTTCCAAGTGACTAACCAAAGGTCGAAGAGATCCAGAAGCGCGGGTTCGGATACCGCCGTCCGCGGGACCTTGAACCCGCGTTTTCGCATTCGTATACTCCGCACCGCCGTGCCATCGCCGGTCCTTGCAGGGATGATCTCGGTCTTTTACGACGAGCTTTAGCCTCTTTAGCTGGTGGTGACTGCCGGTATGTAGTACGGAAGAAGCATCCATAGTTCAACTACACCATAAAGCTGACGATGGTGCCCTGCGACTCTGCCTGTAGTACCGGCAGATTGGTTGCATGATGGAGCAATTTCACTGCCCCGTAATGTCGTCACCCGTAGAGCGTCAGCCAGGTCAACCCTCAAGACTCTCACTCACCAAGCTCATTTCTCTCATACTGTACGGACCATCTCGACAAACACCCGATGCTGTACTCGTATCAGCCGCCATGAATTCAAACACTCGATCTCGGGGAAGCCGAGGTACAGGGTCTTGTGAACGACTGTAGGGTAATTCGCTCCAGAGATTTGATCTACAACGGTAGATCCACCTCGTGAAGAACATCTCATAGCCACGGATCCTCTATGATGACCAGTATGGTCCGTTGGGGAAGTACTTCCGACGAGGGCAAATACACGATCCAAGATCCGCGCTTTCGGTTGATGACATGCATCTAAAAACGAAGCTGAAGCCCCCTCGACGTTGGTAGTAGACAATAATCGACGCTTCCACAGACCTTTTCTTCCTCCAAGAAGACATCATGCGCGGCTTAGAAACCTTCACCGCGCTCGCCGCGGCAGTGGCAACGGTATCTCAAGCCTACAGCCTCGAAAACTTCGCCTCCCCTCCAAACACCTACCGCCCAAAGTTCAGATACTGGTGAGTTTACTTACTCTACTCAACTCCCTGAAGTCCTCAGCACTAACTCGCCGTCCTACCCAAGGCTCCCCGATGCCGAGGTCGATATTGAAGCAGTCACCCGTGACGTGGCCGAGATAGCCTCCGTCGGCGCAGGCGGTCTCGAATTCCTCCCTTACTACCAATTCCACTCTCCCTCAGCGAACTGGTCCGACTATGGTTATGGTACAGACGCCTCTCGCGCTGTGTTCCGCGCGGCGATGGAAGCGGCCGAGCAGAATGACCTCCTTTTTGACTTTGCCATTGGTGCGAATCAGGGACAGGGTGTACCCTCGGAGCCGGAGAGTGTTGGGCTTGCGTTGGAGTTGGTGAGTGTCGCTTTTTGCTATTTCTCCCATCCGTTTTTGGCCAAGTTTACTCTCAATTCCTCGTGAGACTTCATGGCATATGGGAATCAATATGGCTGACACCACTCCATTAGGCATACGTGAATGTCACAGTCGCCCCAGGACACCCCTTCAACGGAACCCTCCCCCTCTCAACCCAGCCCGCGAGCCCCTCCCTCCACCTCTTCATGCACCCATGCGAAGAATTCGGCCAGCAGAACCTCTCTTTCGTCCTAGCTGTGGAAGAAACGCTGGCATCCAACGCTTCATCCACCGCCGTCAAACTCGGCCGCGTCATCGACATTACAGCCTCAGTAGACCCATCCACGAGATCCGTCTCATGGACGTCTCCGGAAGACTCACAGAACACCTGGCGGATAATGGCTTGGTACACTCGTTACACCAACCAACGCTCCATCGACGCTGCGGCCGATGCTACAACATGGGTGCAGAACGGATCCTGGGTCACCGACCACTTCAGTGCCGCGGGGGCAAAGAAGCTGACGGGCTTCTTTGACGACTATATCGTGCCTGAAGAGCAGGATAGAGAAATCCTCGCTCGTGTGGGGAAATATGGTATGTACAACATCCAAACGAAGAGACCAACCTTTTCATCATTTCTAGAAGCCAATGCTAACATCCCAACCTTCAAGCCTGGGAAGACAGCATGGAAATGGACACAGCTTTATATTGGACACACAATTTCGCCGACGCGTTCCGCGAACAACGAGGCTACGACATCGCAACATGCCTCCCCTTCCTCATTCAACGCGAGAACTACTGGGCAGCGCAGAACCTCCCCTACGGCGAATCCTTCCTCTCGCACAATAACAGCACCCTAGTCTCGCGCTGCAACGATGACTACCGCCTCACTCTCCAACATGGATACGAGGAATACATCCGCGCAACCTCGGAATGGGCTCACGAACGGGGACTACAATACTCCAACCAGCCAGCCTACAACCTCCCCTTGAACATGGTTCGTTCACGCCTTCCATCCCGCCACGCACACACATCTTTCACCCCCCTCGAGAACCATCTCAGCTAACTTACACCCAACCAACAGCTCGACTCTATCCCCCTCGTCTCCGCCCCTGAAGGCGAATCCCTAGGCTTCAACGACTCCCCCTCCCTCTACCGCCACCTCTCCGGCCCAGCCCATATGACCCGCAACCCCGTCGTCTCCTCCGAAGCCGGCGCCGTCAGCGGCGCAAGCTACACCCAAACCATCCCGGACCTCCTCCGTACCGTCCGCCGCGGTCTCGCGGGCGGGGTGAGCATGAATGTCTTTCACGGATACGCTTATTCTGGCGCATACGCCCAGACGACGTGGCCCGGGTATACCGTCTTTTCGTACACGTTTACCGATATGTGGGGACCGCGGATGCCGTCGTGGAGGAGTCAACGCAGCGAGAAGGGCTCCGGTGATGGGTTCATGGCTGATGCGATGGCGTACGTCGCGCGAAATCAGTTTATAAGTCAGATTGGTACCGCGAGGGTAGATCTCGCATTCTACCAGTACGCAGCGCCCTTCGCCAAACTCATCTATGAGAGCGACAACCTCGAGAAGCTGGGCTTCACGTACGATTACCTCGGCCCCGCCAGCTTCTCCTCGCCGAACGCCGTCGTCAGCAAAGATGGTGTCCTCGCGCCGGATGGAGCGGCGTATAAAGCTCTCGTCTTCGCCAACCAGACAAAGTTGACGCCGGAGATGGCGGCGCAAACGAAGGCGTTCGCGGAAGCAGGGCTAGCAATTATCGTTGTCGGAAGCGCGGATTTCCAGAGTGTTGGTGCCCATGGAGTTGATACTGTCCCGGAGATTATGGCAACGGTCCTTGAGATGGAGGGCGTGAGGATGCTTGCGTCCGCGGAGGAGTTACCTGCCACGCTCGCTGCCCTTGATATCCGGCCTCGAGTTGAGTTTTCGGGAGAGAGTGATGCTGAGAAGTGGTATTCGTTCTCGCGAAGCACTGAGGACGCCGAGGTAGTGTTCTTGTACAATGACGGCGGAAACTCCACGACGAATAATGTCAGCTTTCTCGGTATGGCAGACAGAACTCCCTACGTTCTCGACGCCTGGACGGGCTCGGCATCACCGCTTCTACAGTACACAGTCGAGGAGAACAACATCATCGTGCCCATGACACTCGCCGCGAACCAGACCACCATCCTCGCTTTCTCCAACCAAACTTCATCCGCAGATGATGATCACAACAAATCCATCCTGCCTCGTCCGCCAAGCACCCACGTAACATTCACCTCCGGCGCCCTCTCAGCACTCCTCTACACCAAGACCCAAGACCCCAACACAAACACCACGACCAACAACACCCGCATCACAGCATACCTCACCCCCGGCACCACAACACTAACCCTCGCCACGGGCCAAACCCTCACCTTCACCGCCTCTCAGCTCCCAGGAGCAACGGTCCTCGACGCATGGAACATCACAGTCAACGACTGGCGCAGCGGAACCGACTCTTTCTCGATGGAAACCGCAATCACCCCGTACCGGTTCCTCGACAGCCCGCTAGCGTCGTGGAAGGAACTAGATCCCGTCAATCTGGGTAACACAAGCGGTACGGCAGAGTACGAGACCACATTCCGGACGCTTCCACAATCTACCACGGAACAGCGGTTAGGAGCCCGTCTTCATTTAGGCGCCATCACCGACGCAACGATGCTATGGGTCAACGGCGAGAGAGTGATCTTCGACGTGTACAGTTCGCCTGACGTCGTGGTGGACATCACGAATTACCTCAACCCCGCGGGCGCCGCCAATGTAGTAAAGGTAGAAGTTGCTTCGACGCTGTATAACCGCGTGAGAGCGGAGCAGGACAACGTCATGACGTTTGGAGTCGCTGCTTCCGTGGCAGGTGCGAGTTACTTCGACGCCAACCCGGCCAAGGAGAATGGACTTAGAGGACCTGTGTCGATTCAATGGGTTGAGGCTGTCGACGTACTTTGAAGCGGTGTCGTTACAATTTTGAGTATACACAGCGTGGTGCTGGTTTGTGTTTTCAAGTTGATGTCTTCGCTCTAAGGAACATCCCACATTCACAAGCTAACTGTAAGTTTTACCTTCTTGTATAATATAATTTAATTATAAATTACCGTTGCCAGCAATTGCAGGCATGTCGTAGTCGACATATAACTATCGCTGAACTGGAACTATGGCCTACATGAAACCCCTACGGATATCTGTAATGTGATGTATCAACATCTTTACGCTGCGTTCGCCTTGTACTTCGTAGTGCATTTGGGGTGAGTCAGAACATAGTTCGAGCTTGCAAGTGTGTGGTCGCGTTGCAGGTCTTGTGATGCCTCGACTACTATGAAATATGCAACAACTCAGGGGCAAAGTTTGATATACGAAAAAGTATGGCAAAGTGCCGTCTCCTCTACCCAAATTGCACGGCAGAAGGAAAGCAAAAGCATGGACGGTATGGACCCGAGACAGCGCCAATATGATTCGCATTAGCGGTCTTCTCGAGAGATAAAGCAAACTCTCTTCATTGGACCCTCTCCTTTCATTCCCGTAATCGCCGCACAGGGCACAGGCATGGTGGTCGCACGTCGTCGAAAATTAGGGGGGCTCAGATTGTGTCGCGCAGGAGCCTTGCATGTGAAGAAACGTCGCTGTCGCGTCGCGGCGACTGTCCTCCGCTCCGGCAGACCGGTGGGCGGGCGGGCGTTGCTTCTCTATGCGCTAGGCGGGCGGCTGCTGGTCCCCGGAAGGGAGCCCTGAAGCGCAAGGTCAGGGCACTTCGTCGGCAAGGGATATTGGATGGATTCTGGGTTGATATGAACGGCCGCGAGTGATAGCACGGGCTGCAGATGGCGTGTTGATTCGTCTAGAACGTTGAGCAATTTGCAGGGCCAAGGAGCGGTCTGGTTCTTCTCAATCTTATTGCGCCTGTTTTAAGCGGCTTCACAATCAAGGGTCTGAGGTCAAGGGCTGGCTGAGATCGCTACGAGAAAAAGCGGACACGAATTGTGGCGGTTGGCGATGCTTGTCACTCTTTTTCCCAGTCGGAGAATCGTGGGTCAAGGGATCTGCTTGCTCTGAGTTGTCCTCCCGGGCTGATGCCGATCACCTCTTTGATGGGAAGGGAATTTTCGGGCGTGTGATAGCTGTTAGGGAGATGCGCACATACGAGCTCGGGGACCAAAAGCTTGAATGTCGAAGCTGACAATCCGTACGAGCAATGCCGTCCGTTGTTGCTAGTATGCGGGAGAGCAAGACGACATGCTAGCAAGTTTTCTGGACGTGTACGGACCCTACGATGGTAGAGCAAATACGGAGTAGGGTATCCGTACTAGAAAACTTCGATTGTTTAATGCCAATCGAGTTTTCGACCGGCCTAGAATTTTTGAATTGTCCTTGGAGCCCATTGATTTACTGGCACAGCCACTGCAGAGTTGCGATGAACTGCGGCTTGCCAACGGATGAATGTGCTTTTCTTTGTGACTGTCACTGCCAAGTGCCAAAAGACGATGAAGAGTCGTGTAGCTATTTCGGGAGCCCAGCACCATCAAATTAGAGAAAACTTTTTCTGTGGCTACAACCACAATGGGTGAAGAGTGTGCTTGGTACCTGCATTCAGCATTCTTTCAGCGGCGAGCGATGTATCACCCGCTACCAATGGAATGGGTGATGGCGGCGGTGGCAAACGGCTTCAGGGCGCATAATAGAAAAGGGACAGGCGGGAAGTCTCAAGAGGGCAAGCCGGAGAGTGACGTGGTGATCATTTCGGGCTGGTTTGCTGTGCGTCGCACTGCATCGGAACCCTTTTGGCACTAAGGCAGCTAGAGACGTGGGAGAAGGAGAGATTTTCAGGAGGGTCGGAATTCCAAGGACGCTAGAAGTCGTTATCGCCGTAATGGTGGTGAGGTGAGATAAGGCATGTCTCAAAGCGTCAAATGATGGTGGTGAGACTGTCAGACTCTTGTTTGTACAGGTAAGTGAGTCTGTTCAGTGCTGAAACGGCTCAAGGTTGGACGACAGCTTGTGAACCGCGGCGAGCAGCACTGGGTGTACTTGCACCTTGGTACTGGAGCATGAATGGTTGGTGAGACCCTCTGTGGGCGCCCTGCATTTGTCGTGTCTGATATTCTGTTGTAACTGCAGTCATCTCTCTCTTGACCCATCTGCGAGTGGTGCATAACTCCATGGTACCATCAATGGAACCGACCGACTGACTTGCTGGCTGTACTCCGTACGGAGTGGGAAGCTTGACAAGATGGCCCTGCGGAGTTCAGACTTGGAGTCCAGAGTCCAGACCGACTCAACGATCCGGGGAGAGAGCAGAAATTCTGAAAGCTCTTCTGGACGTTCTGGAGCCCAGGACATTGCGGACGAGGGGGGTTGCGGCGACGACGCCATGGATGATGGGAAGTGAACGAGGTTGGGCTCCGTGTCTGAAGATTCGGCAAACTGTCGTTCGTGGGCCAAAACCAGCGACGTCGGACAGTGACGGCACCGGGCGTTGGAAACAGTGAGCTTCGAAAGATTCGGGAAACGGTGGGCCGAGCTTGAGGGTTAGGGGCTCAGCGGCCGGGTCCTGAAGTCTTGGCAGGGGGAAAAAAGGGCAAAAGGACCCGTTTTGCCGTCGTCGAATGCGGAACATGGAAGGACCAGGAAAGACGCCGTGTGACGTCAGCCGTGGCGGGTGGGGCCACTTGGCCATGTCGAGAGTGGGGGTCCACCACATTAGACGCAGCGGGAGGAAAGTGCATGTCGCACCTGTACCCGACCGTCGGTCCATTCAAATCGCAATTTGAACGAGAAGGCGCGTGTTTTTGTGTTGGAGACGATACGATGCGAGGAAGGAGCCGACAGTGAGAGGCTTGAGACTGCAAGTGAGAGGAGCCTGAGGAGTCATTCTTTGCGGTCCCCCCAGCTGAATGACCTGAGGCACATTAACCCCTTTCATTGGTAGGCGAATTATGCAGCCCGGAATCCGAGGTGGACTGGTTGGTAGATTGTATGCGTGTTGATGCAACACGGCGGGTGATGGCCACTTTTTGCATCGAAAGCTCGAGTGAGCCATCCGCTGATTAGCCGCTGTAGATACACGCAGGCACGGCAGGATTGCCAGACGAGCACGACAGAATCAGATCAGGGCAAACATCAGAGACTCGAGAGGCTGTTCATGCTGCTGCCAAGACACGCCGGCTCTGCCATGGTTTCCGCTCGTGGGATGGATTTGCGGTAGTCCCTCGTATCGAGACCACCTTGGCCCGGCGTTAGTCTCTTTTCTGTCGCTGGCAGTTGTTCTCCCGCGCTTCGGGCTTCTGTTATTCACCGTCGTCCTAAGGTAGGTAGTTGGTGCCAAGTATCTTGCAAACCTCGAGCGGCAGACGTGTACTAGGTAAGGTTGCCGCTGATGAGAGCATCTGTCGTCACTGGCTGGTGCTGGCACTGGTGACACACTGGTGTCTGGTCTCTTCGGCCCTTTCCACCGTAGATTGGCGACAGGCACGCACTACAGCCATCGGATGCTATTTCTGTTGAGGGCGGCTTGCAGACTAGATAGGTGCTGCTAAAGACCTTACTTAAAGCACTCGGTGGAGGGTATTCGCACGACAGTCAAGCGCAGCAAGGGACGTCGTGCGCGAAAAATGGCGGCCATATGCGTATGTAATGGTGTTTGAGCCCGCCCACCCGTCTTCATGCTCCTCCCCTGGCGTGTAGGTAGGTATGCCGGCATGGCATGGCGATTCGGGCGGCAGCGTGTGTGATCTGCGACTGTCTGTTCGCGGGATCGGGAGAGACGGTTCAGTCGGTTGGTGGCGTCGGTTCGTTGCGACGCAGCGGAGAGCCTCACTATGCGACTGCGTGTCGGTGTCTCAGACGGCGGTCAACACCCGAGCCAGGGATGAGGCGTGCGGATGGACAGGCAATACCGTGGTGGAAAGGCACCAAAAGGATCGCGATGACGGGCGATCGTGGGTTCGACGCAGTGGGGGTCTCCCAGCGGGCTACGCTCTGGTATGGATTCTCAGTCTTTAGTGTATCCGTAGATTCTCTCCATCACCAGCCATCTGCCATTCGAACGGAGTGTTGGAGACAATGTGAAGCTCAGAACAAGACCCAGTGTTGGAATGGGGTTCCGGTGACTCGCGTCTGAAGAGGGAATCTGATTCGCATCGTCTGTTTCCCATGCGCATCAGCGGTGATGAACACCGATGGGGACAGTGACGAAGAGGACAGTCTGTAAATGACAACGATGAAGGCGCTAGCCGCCATTCAGTTTAGAGCTGCCGCGGACCGACGACGAGTATTCGGCGCAAGGGGCGTGATGTGAACGGGTGAAGGCCAAGACCTTGTGGTGCGGTAAATCGATCGATGGGTGACGCTGCTATCCGCAGCTTGCAGTGCACAACAGTGAACACAATGCAGTTGCCGTGCTGCAAGGCACAAAGTTTCGGTCAGAAGCAAAGTGGAAAGCCAATGGAGCTCTGAATTTCTGGATTAATTGCAATGTTGCAGCGAGAAAACTAGACATGGCCTTATCGCCCACTGCGGTGCTTCCGAGTAATCAACTTGACGGAGCAGATATTCAGGGTCCCCCCCTTCCCCCTTTGTGCCTTCTGTCTGCAATTCCTAGCATGCGGCAAGACCCGAGTGGGTGTTGTTGGGAAGGGAGGTAACACTGAACTTCAAAGTTCGGGGACCTTCAGTTCCTGGAATTTGGACTTTAGAAAGAAGGATCATTTATGAGCACTTTAAGAACCACCAAAATCAGTCTTCACTACTATAGTATGAACAAAGCGAGATGGGGAGGCATGAATGGTTTCGATCTCTGGGAAACAGCAGCATCCCAGTGACAGTGGCATTCGGGATTCCAAGGTTTTCAGGTTCACGCCTTCCATCCCCTGCGCGGCTCTCCTGTCAGATAGCACGGACCCGGTTTTGAGCCCAGTGCCAGCCGGCATATCGCTGTCGCATTCGCTGCTACCGCCAATGCCACACCCCACTTTTGCAACTTTGTCCAAGCTCCCAGGAAATGTCACTGGGAAAAGAACAGGAACTGCTCCTTCTTCGGATTTCATTTCAAGGTACGTATCCTCGTCCCTGAAGGAACCTTACCTTACCTTACTCACTGCCAACCCGTCATTCAGATATTAGGTACTTGCACGATACGCCTTGAGAAGCAAACGCAAGACGGACAGCCATAGAGACTGAAGAGCGAGAGCAGTGTCATGACCAGATTGATGGCCCCAACATCAATATCCAGGTCTAAGGCCCACGCCCAGCTAAAAAATGGAGACCCAACTTTTAAATGTTAATGACGAGCAAGCCCCCCCCAAGCAAGATCATCGCGCGTCGCCCCCATTCTTTTTCACTGGGCACCGACGTGGCGCCGCGGGTCGAAGCAGCAGCGATTCACAAGCGCCACCACTGGTCGACATTTGTGAACAAGGCTCGGACATGCATATAGAATTCTGGAGACAATCCTTGGAACTCTTGGGACCTTGTCGCCGTCGCTGTCGTCAAATTCTTGGTTTCCACCCGTCCCTCTATACTTCATTGAGCTCAAACACCACCCCAGGGACCCCTCGCGCCCTCCAATGCCAGAGGGGAAACAGAGATCCAGTTTTACTACACGAGTCCCTGTTCCTCTAAAATCACCGAGAGACTTTGGGAGTCGGGGAGTCGGGGAGTGAAGCAGTACCCATATCTTTGCTCCCATTGCCTGCCAGAGCTCCCATCCATGAACATTGGATGAGAACATGAGTCCAGACTTGCACGACTGCTTGCTGATTAACAATAGTACAAGCAATTCCATGTGCTTATGCCTGCCATTTCTGCTGATTGCCTATTTGGTCTCGGCCCCTTGCTCTTTCCCTGTTCACTTATTCCAAAGGTCTCCATCTGAAGGGGTACGGAGGTACTGTACTGTACTGGGTGACTTCCGTCGAAGCTTTCCCATCGACAAAAGACGGGAAGGTGCACCTCCCAAGAAATATTTCATCCAGCCCACCTCCCCCCTCGACCTTCCAACAAAAGCTCCTTCCCCAGCTATTTTCCTCTCCTTCCCCAGCTTTACCTGTTTTCAAGGTACAATTCACCCACGGGGAAACGGGAAGGTACCAAGTAACGACTTGATTCTTCTTAGCTGAAGGGTCCCTCGACTGTCCTCCTCACTCCTGCCCATCTCCATCGCGGTTCTTACCGGTGGTCATAGCTACTTCCCTCCCCCCGGAACACACACCGCGGAGTATTTGCGCCTTTGTCACCATCTACCGGCGGCAACTCTTCCTCACCGAGAAAAACAGCGAAACGACCCGACCGCGAACGCCAATCGCGATTCTACATCACCTTACTGGCATTTTTTTTTTTTTTTGCCTCTGACGGCATTAATCGGGCCTATTCGCCTTTACCTGCATACAGTAGAAGGGAGGATATCTTGCTCCCTCTTAAAAACAAAGCGGCCGCAACTTTCACCTTGGGTACATCCCATTTCACTCGCTCACTTACACCCCATAATCCTGCCCATCTCAACCGACGGCCCCTCGCGGCCCCATCATCCCGCCCACCATGACGACGCCAACAAATAATCGCGATCGCGCCAATTCGGACGAAAACGAGAAGCATTCTCAGCATACGGACGATAGTCTCCAGACCGCAACTGATCCCAATTCTCAACCTACACATCCGGAAAAGTTAACGAGATTAAACACCGACAACCACCTTCATATCCCCCAAGAGACACATGCCGGACCAATGTCTCCGCAAGATTCACGAGAACAGGCCTCGCGCCTCAACGACGACTTGGAGCTTTTGCGCGCCGAGCGCCTTGTCTCAAACCAAGAACATGACATTTCCCAGCAGCGTTCTCGTCAGGGTAGGACCCGCGAGATGGAACCCGAGGATGTCTTCGCTACCAACGGCCCAAATAATGCCGATGTTGGCAAGGGGCCGCCCGAGAAGAAGGCTGGTGCCTTTGCATTTAAACTGTGGAAGTGGCTGAGGAAGTTTCCGCGCGTTTTCCGGTACTTGGTTTACTTGATCCCCGGTGCCGCGCTCCTTCTCATTCCAGTTCTTATCGGTCACTTCGCCGTTGACGCCGAAAGCGCCACCGTCGGCGGTGCTTATGGTGTCTACCTCACTTGGTTCGGAATCTGGCTCGAGGTTGTCTGGTGCTCATTGTGGGCTACGCGCATGGTTACGAGCTTCATGCCTCTCACCTTTGGCGGTATTGCCATTGTCATGGGCTCTTCGAACCACAAGAAGTGGAAGGACATTGGCCAGGGCCTCGAGCTGCATACTGCCCTCTTCATGTGGATGCTTGCCATTCTGTGTTCCTACTCACCGATCCTCGATGACCATCGTGTTCTCCCCGACGGATTCAACCCGGACACAGACACGAAGCCCGACCTCAAATGGGTTGATATCGTCCAGAAAGTCATTATCGCCTTCTTGGTCCTGGCTGGTTTGAACTGGGCCGAGAAGATCTGCATCCAGTGGATTGCCACGTCTTTCCATCAGCGCACATACGTCCAGCGAATCGAGACGAACAAGAGCGACATCGACCACCTGGTGCACTTATACGAGCACTCCAAGATGCGAATCAACCGCGAGGACTCCATCTGGCTCACAACTGAGAACGGCAACAGATCAGGCGCCCGTACTCCAATGGGTGTCGTGGGAAAGAACGTTCGCACCGCCTTCAACAAGGCCGGTGGCGTTGCGGCTCGCGTTGGAAACGACTTCATAGGACGAAAGGTCGCCTTCAACCACGCCCGCAAGATCACCTACGAGATGTTGCGCAACACAGGTTCTGCCCATTCTCTCGCCCGCCTCATCTTCCGCAGTCTTGCCAAGGATGGCCAGGAAACCATCTACCTTGAAGACATGCAGTCCGCCTTCAAGACCACCGAAGAGGCTGAACATGCCTTTAGCATTTTCGACAAGGATCTCAACGGTGACATTTCCATGGAAGAGATGGAACTCACTTGCAACGAAATTCATCTCGAGCGCAAGGCCATCGCTGCCTCGTTGAAGGATCTCGATTCCGTCATCAAGAAGCTCGACAAGGTCTTCCTCGTCGTCATTGTCATTATCGCCATCATCGTCTTCATCTCCATTCTCTCAGGCTCTGCTGCCGCCGGTCTCGCATCTGCCGGATCCAGTTTCCTGGGTCTAGCATGGCTGCTCCAGGCTAGCGCTCAAGAGTTCCTACAATCCATCATCTTCGTATTCGTCAAACACCCGTTCGATGTCGGTGACCGAGTCACTGTCTACGGCAACACTGGTACCACGGGAACTGGTGACGATTACTACGTTACGGAAATTTCCCTCCTGTACACCGAGTTCAAGAAGATGGAAGGTCACATCGTACAGGCACCCAACAGCGTTCTTAACACTCTGTTCATCCTTAACCAGCGTCGATCCGCTGGCCTAGCCGACCCCATCGAGCTTAAGCTTGGTTTCGGCACTGATCCGGAGCTCATTGAAGAGCTCAAGTCCCGCATGCTCAACTTCTGCCTCGAACACAAGCGCGACTACCAACCTCGCATCATTACCGAAGTCCGTACTCTCAACGAGGTTCAATCTTTCACCATGAACTTGATCTTCTTCCACAAGTCCAACTTCCAGAACGAGCTGCTCCGTCTCCAAAGACACAACAAGTTCGCCGCCCAGCTCATGGCCGAGGTTCGCGCTGTCGGTCTCCAGGGCCCTTGGCAGGTGCAACCCGGTGGTTCCCGCAACACCCCCTTCTACTGGGCAGGCGGCGCCCCTCCTGCGTACGACTCTTCAAAGAATGGTGGTCCCAGTGGCATCGAACCTGCGACGCCTGGCGGCGACGCTCACTCCATTCACTCCACTACTCAGTCTACGGCAGCGGGTACTGCTGTGGCCACTCGTGCTCGCGCCGATTCCCGCACTGGTGTGACGCCTTTCATCGATAACAACTGGAGCGACTTCCAGGACGTGTTTGAGGCTCGCAGAGAGGTCCATCAACCACACGTCGCTCGTCTCCACAGTATCCGCGAACGATCCGACCTCGAACGGCCGGAAAGTGCGACTTCAGGTGCCGCAGCCTCGAGAGCCAGCCACGATTCTGGGTCTCAGCGCCGACGCTTCTTTGGTCGGCCCCGGAGTTCAAGCCGAACAAAACCCAGCGACATCGTTTAGACCAACGCATCGACGATGAGAATTCCTTATTCGACAGAACAAAAGTCTTTTCCCATGCACTGAAGCTTGGGGCCTTAACACTCTTTTCATAATGCGATACTTGTAATCAGCGAAGCAAAAGAAGCTACACAGAGATAGAGTAGATAGAGAGAGATGTGCATAATCACCGATGCGTATTGAAGGACTTGGGTAGAATGCCCGAGTATCTGTCGCAAGGTGTCGACGGAGTTCATTTCAAAGAAATTGGCATCAGGAGCGAAAAGACGCTTTCCTTTGGACAGACAGAAATCGGGGTAAAATACCCAAATAGAAATCTCGATTTCTAATCCGTATCGTTGCTCTTCCCATTTTCGCGTTTCTCGATGAGTATTCGGTTGCTCATCTTATAATTGCTGATGCCATCATAGGTCGGTCCTCTTGTCAAGAGCCAGTCCTGGACAGACTGACTACAGGGCTTTTTGAAACTATGCAGCTTTTGCGAGGTCCAGCGGCAAAGTTTGAGAGGCGCGCCAGACGCCTCACCTTCTTTGCTTCCCAACACTACACTCTTTTCCCTCTCTTTGTCTCTCTTTATCTTCCTCAAATGCAACACCAGCGACCATGTAATCTCCTCCTGAAGAGATCGAGGCTGCCCTCAAGGCCTACCGCTCTCACATCTCGGAGCGCAACCACCGGGTCGTCGAAGTTCTTGGTATGTCTATTCCATGAAAGTAAGTAGTCACGTTGCTAGCCACAAACGTCCTGACTTTGTCCTCTCAGTATCTCTAGTCGCCGACGCGGAGCTAGAAGATGGCGACCTTGAAGACGACGAAGACATCAACGATCTCCATCTTGAGACCCTGCACCCCCTTTTCAACATGAGTCTTTCCTCGTTCGTCTCCACGCTGCGCGAGATCCTTACGCGCTGGGACGAGTTTTGTGTCGTATACGACCTACAGGGCACGAACATTGCTGGCAGGAAGCCTTCTGAGGAAGATGTAGCTCTCAATGAGGCTTGGTTTGAGCTCATGAAGAAATGTCTGGGGAAGAGGTGTCGAGAGGATGTCAGAGAGACTTTGAGGTTCTCTGAGGAGTTTCTTGTCTTAGCGAGGTATGTGGATAGTCTCAGTGGACTGGGGCGGACGGAGTGTAAGTCGAGGTACCAGGCCGGCTTCTTAGTTCGACTGTATCCTGATTCTCCGGCCCTAGCTGAGCAGGGCGCTGCTGAGATGGGCAAGACGCCTGACTGGTTAAGTGAGTATGTAGGTTGCGGATGAGAGTGTGCTGCTTGATGGGATGCGGGGTGTGTGATTAGTCCTTCGCTCTATGTCGTCTACTGCCGGAGGAGGACTCGGCCGGTGTGCCGAAACCCTGGGCGTGGACGTACTGTTCGCAGGACTGTATGGATTCTGGTGTTTTTGATACGATTTCTGAGCTTTTGGCGTGGTATAGTGCGTATCGAAAGAGAGGGTTGCCTGATGCGTCTTCTATGAAGGGATAGGATGTGTTGATGGGTCGTGTGTTTTGAAGCAGACATCAAGCTGCTCATCCATTTGATGCAGGCCCCAGGTTCAGAATCTTGCAGTATTTCGAAGTCCCTTCAAAAAAGGAAGGAATGAACAGGTTCAGTTCTCTTCAATATCACTCTTTCACCTAAGGACCTACCATGGAGGTCCGTTCCGATGTGGAACGGTAAGTGGAGGTTGGAGATGACAACTCTCAACGGCGCAACCCAACGGAAAATACTTCTGCTAGATAGGTTCATACGGGGACAGTCGGACTAGGCAATTCAGAGAGATGACGTCTTCCCCGTGACAATCCGGCCATGTTCTCTTGATATTCTTAGTATCAAGGGTAATGTGCCCCGACTCATCGGGACCCTCATCCTCCCCCGGACTGCGATGCCGGGTTATCCGGAATAGACTCAACGGCTTTCCCGGCAAAAGATGCAGCTCCGATAGTGCCAAGGATATATCAACGTACCTTAATTTTAAGAACCGGCTTTACTTGCCATTTTCAACTGTACGAACCCGAGCTTGCGGATAAGGTTTTGGTTCTCCTTGCCCCGAGGCTTTGTTTTTTCGGCTAAGCGGGAACGTCGACATGGCGGATGGATATCTTACGGGAACCCGGAAGGCAAGTATTTGTAGATTAGCAGTGAGAGAATACAGACCTTCAAGGATCTCGATTTCCTATCTGAAGCTGTGTCTTGGCTGAGTTGTCCAATGACCAGATTCATTCCCTCTTTAATCAATATGAATCCCTGGGTCAGAAACTCAATTCTCCAGCGATGTTCCGCCGGAGCGGGGCCGCGAAGGTATGAAGTCCGGGATGAGAGGCCCGGAGAAGTCTGAAACGGCAACTTCGATTAAATAGTCCCCCAGGGATTGGCTTGCCTCAACTTCTCACAACATGGCCGCCAAGCTTTCCACGCTCTATTTCTTGGGACTTCGGGCAGTTTCTCGGGGGAAGACCCATGGCAAACCCGTCTAAATGGGCAATTCTATAACGAATCAGATGATTCGACTTGATACCTAAATAGCCAAGACATGGAGCTCTGTACAGATGTGGACGTTCGGGTTCTCGGGGTAATGAAGAAGGAGGTCTTGTCTAAGCGGATCTTTTTCTGTACACATAGTGTCCCTACTTACTGCACACATAGTGTTCCTACTTAAGAGCAGGTACAGCGGAGATTGATAATGGCGTCAATGGCTGCTGCGCCCTCTCGAAGTTCCTAGTCGTTCTCTGATCTTTTCTTGCCCGTCGTTCCATTGTGCTACTTGCGCAAGGGGCATTCCACTCGTTTGTTTCGCGCCGGCATATTCTCCTCACTGGCTCTGATCATACCAAAAGAGACCTCGATCTCTTCAGTCACTCACATCCAAAACCAATACGTTTCTTCCGAGTGGAAACAAAATCATGGCGAGAATACTCCTCTGTCTAGCCGCCCTCCTCGCGGCAGCATCAACCACATTCGCAACCTGCACCAACCCCTCAATCCGCAAACCATGGACCGCCCTATCGAAAGACGAAAAGGCAAGCTACGTGACCTCGACACTCTGTCTAATGGACCCCTCCCAAGCGCCAGCCAGAGTCGGAAGTTGGGGCGCAACGAGCCGCTGGGAGGAGTTGATTGTTGCGCATATTGCGCAAGTTCGGTATATTCATACAGTGGTAGGTGATACACTCGAACGCTCCAAGACGATCGTTATACCTTTCAATTCGACTCCGCGTCAAACAACAATGGTTAAACGCAAAATACTCTATGGAACTAATCGATCGACTCTCAAACAGGGCGCCTTATTCCCCTGGCATAGATGGTACACCAAAATCCACGAAGACCTCCTCCGCAACGAATGCGGCTACACCGGCCCATACCCGTACGCCTGCCTACCTTCCTCTCCTCTCCCCTTCCCTCAAGAACCTCAAATCTCAAACCTAAACAACTTACACTTAATCCAGCTACTGGGACGAACAAACAGATCAATCCCTCTACCCAATCCAAAACGCTTCCGTCTGGGACACCGTATCCTACGTCAAAGCCTTCGGCACAGACAGAACCGACGCCTCGAACTGCATTCTCGACGGCGCTTTTGCGGACTACCGCGTCCGCTTTAACACAGAGCTCGAACGCGATGCGACAGACGGAGGCGGCGTCTGTCTCACGCGCGCGCTAAACCAGACGGCATTCGATACGGTTTCCCAGCTCAATGTCGTGGAGCCCTGCATGGCGCTTGACAAGGGCGATGATTACGCCGAGATGTTGGGTTGTTTGGGGAACACACCGCACAGTGGAGGTCATCTAGGCGTCGGTGGCATCGTGAGTTCTTTTCCTTCCTTCAGCTTCTACCTTGGTCTCCAACTGCCCTACTCCCTCAGTACCGAGCTAGAAAGAGTTGCTCTCAACAAGAGACTACTCAAAAACAAGACTAACTATCACAGATGCGCGACCACGCCCGCTCCCCAGCGGACCCAATCTTCTACCTCCACCACACAAACTTCGACCGCCTCTGGTGGGAATGGCAGACTTCCTCCCCAGGGAGGCTCTCCGCAATGGGCGGTCCCAACGTCGCGGCTAACCAAATCTTTCTCGACGCGCAGCCAAAGATCCTGCCGGAGAACATGTTCCTCCCGTACTTTGGCGATGGGGGTGGCAATGTCACGACGCTGGAGCATGTTTTGTGGATGCCTGGGTTGGCGGAGAATATTACCATCAAGGACACGATGGACATCCGCGGGGATAAGATGTGTTTCGAGTATGTTTGAACAGGAGTGACATCAACGGAGTCACCGCGTTGGGAATGTGGAGATTTCGATTTCACAGGAGTCGAGGTTCAGGACTTATACAAGGGCACGCCCTCATGATGCTTCGGCAGCTGAGAGATAATGTAGCAGGAAGACAGCCAAGGTATGAATATGAAGCAAAGCTAGTGACTGCTGCTGTTGACAGTCGAGGATGGGTCATTTGATATGATGCTTTAATTGAGATCTACAAGATACATGAGACCTTCAAAACTCTACTGCAAAGTCGCGGTTAGAAAAAATGCGACGGACAGTCATCCGAAGGCCGTTTTATCAACTGCTCCTCCCGATATCTCTTATGGTTTCCATCAAGCCCTGTCTTCGAAAAGCATATTTTGAGCTCACGCTCAAGCTGTACCTGCCATAAACTTGAACCCATCCATATCAATACAAAAGCAGAACATGACATCATAGCCATAAGCTCCAGAAAACACGTAATGAACATGCTCGTTACTAACAAAGTGTAGCAAAGGTACAGTTGCTCTCGATGACAACTTCAGAGTACATTGGGTACAGTACATCGAATGCCGAGGCAATAGCCGTGTTGTAGTCGTCGTTGAATTTGGTTGCGTTGCACTCGCTGCAGTGGATTCCCACTTCGGGCTCCGGCCAATTTATCTCGTACCCAATGAAGCCCTTGAGCTCTCCAGTGGCCATATCGTATGCTGTGAGATTGAAGGTTGAAGGGAGGGTTAGGGTGTCGTCCGAGGTGTCATTGGCAAAGGGGGCTGGCCCGTGGTTGTACACGGAGTAGCCATCAGAGCCTGGGACGGTACCAAGGTTTTTGAGGGCGTTGAAGAAGACGGGCAGGAAGTTGAGGGGAGTGGCGTTAGTGCCTTGACAATGGGCCGTGACGGTTGAGTTGAGGCGGTTCAAAAAGGGGTAAGGGCTACAGTAGCCATCCGTGGTGAAGAGGATGCTGCTCAGGAAATGGGCAATCGTGCCGTACCAGATGGCTCGGCGGGGGCTGACTTCGACTTTGACGCTGAGGGTTCTTGCATCCACAGAGGAGCTGTTGGTACCACCTGTGGAGGTAGTTCCGTTGTCTGTGGGCACCCAGACGCCGGGGAGTCTGGCCCAAGGAGTCGGACCGTTCTCAAGGTGATTGCAGATGAAAGCTGAGACACAGGTAGAGTTGCCGGAAGCACTCATACTGATAGGGCGTCCGCGGTAGGCGTAGCACCAGAGAGTGGTACCGCCATCCTTGGTGCTCATGGCCTTGCCGGCACGCAGGAGCTCAGGAGTGCCGTCTTCGATCCAGGCAGACCAGGTATCGCCGTTTGAAAAAGTTGCAGAGGCACCCTCGTAGTTCCAGGGGTATTTGCCGTTGTTGTAAGGCATCTCGACAACCATATCAGGAGGAGCGGGATCGGTCTCGGCCGGAGTCGACCAGATGGCACCCCTGTACCAGTTCATCTGGCGGGACGTAGACCAGGTCAGGTTCTCCGGGTTGGAACCAATGCCGCAGTCAGCCAGAACCAGATTCTGATCAGTGTTGGTGTAGGCAAGGCGATGCAGGTTGAGAGGGTTCAGGGAAGACATGGCCGTAAAGGCCTTGAGAGTGCGAGAGAAAGTCATCTTGTAGTGAGGAGAACCAAGGTAAAGACGGGCAAAAGGACTGAACCAAAAAAGAACGAGGATTGAGGTTGCGAGGTGATGAGAAAGCGGTCCAAGATTTGCGGTGCTGTCGAGGGTGTTCAAGGAGGGTTGAAGGAGAGAAGATGGAGGTGGACGATGGAATAGATGCAGCTAGTGGCAGAGGCAGAGACAGTTCAAGAAGATAGCTGGACGACGGGAAGGAGACTCGATGCGTTGAAACTGATTCTTGCCGTTTCTCAATGTTTGAGTCTTGGGGGTTCCTGCCACGGAAAGAGAAGGGCACGAGTTTCTGAGACTAAACGTGTAAGTGACCACATTGCGTCTGAGGGGCAACTTCCCTAACGAAACAACTTTTCAGAGGCAAATAATAGGAAGGAAAGAGAGACGAAGGCCATAACGACAGTCCTCGGGTACCTCCTGCCGCAATAGAGAAAGTCTCAACTTGGCGATACTTCACATGGAAATGGGGAAGTTTCGAACCTTCGGTGTAATCAATGCTCTCCATCTAGAAAGGGCAAACCAGAAATGCCAGCAATGATCTCTTCTATGAACGGCGTTCTCGGGGTCGAACATTACCTTCCACCTCCTCATCTGAACACTACCATGGTAATTCGGCCTTCCATCTGAATGATCTGATCAGGAAGAATGTGACATTCGGGATGAACCTTTTGTTTGAGCTCCGGAAACAGTCAAAGCTTCCGTAGCACGTGGAGTGCTGGGTAGTGCCTCGTTTGATCACGGGCAGAGCATGGGATGACCGTCATGGATGGAGCTATGAACAGGGATGGTCCTTGGCGACCGGATGATCTCTCTTTGATGTTGTCCTTATCCAGTCGAGTAAGGTCGAATAGTCAAGGCAATGAGTTTTGCTGAAAGAATCTGATCAAGACCATATCAAGCACCTTTCATACCTGGGTACGATGTCATCGTATTAGGCAGATGTGTGTAAGTTGAAAGTTAATAATCGAGTACTGCGAGGTGCAGAGGTCGAGGAAGATGCACAGTCAGCAAACGTCTTTGTCCAATGAAACGGAGTAGATTGCCGGAGATCAGCCACCATCACCACATGGACTCCGCTGAAGCGGTCCGGGGGATGTTACCCAAGCACCGAAAGACCCCCCGGGCAAGGCCTAATGGACCCCCAAAGACCCCTAAAAATAAAGCCAAGCCGCATTGAGGGTGGAGTGACTTGGACCTTGTGCCCACCAGGGAGCAAATAGTTCGTTGCCTGGACATGTACGGAGTAGCTCCCCGCTCCATTCCTCTTTCATCACACGCATCCTCGACCAGAGAGACAACGCCAACGTCCACACGCCCATGCAGCTCAGCCGCACTGCAGCTAGATTCAGTCTAGCCCATCATTGTTGGGCCTATTCGTACCTCTTTACCTCCGTTTATTACCTTGCCCAGGTGCTATGCCATCGAAGCCATGTCGCAGAAAAACAACGCCTGGCGCCACGTTCGCTTCCATCCTCCCCTTTCTCTTGACGTGACGATGTCGTGTCGCCATCGCGAGCAAGCTTGACGCGGCAATGAACCTTCAGTTTGACGACTTGCTCTTCCAAACGTTATTCTCTCCCGCCAACGACAACGGTCTTCCCGCAGTAAAGTCAGTATCAAAGACTCCGAGCATCGGACTTCACCTGACCGACACCTCCCAACAGGGTTGTCGGTGTGCCTACCAATCAGATTGCGACCATACAAGCAATCCTGCATAGGGAAACCCCCCCCCAGATTCTCGAGGCTCTACGACTTCACATCTCCCCGAATCGAGAACGCTTACTGCCTCGGCATCATGGCGGCCCTGCCCACCGGCTGGGAATGGGACTATGATGGATCCCGCTGGCTCTACCGCTACAGGCCCAACGGCCATGAACAATTCCACTTCCCGAAAGAGGGCGACGAGTTTCCAGACTTTGTTGACTGCTTTTCACCAGCCCCCGAGCTCGCCCCCGAAGAGAAACTCGAGAGCCAGCAACAGCTCAAAAGACGAACCACGGCCGATGCCAATCCCGTACCCCAGATGCGCGCTACTGGTGGACCCATGTCCGATTTTGGTATGAGTCGAAGTGGCTTCGGAGGGCCCATGGGCAACGACGATGATGATAGCGACGGCTTCTGCTTCCAGCCCGAGAACTTCATGTATCTCGGCCCCGGTGCCTACGACGACATCAGCCTGGAAGCTGATGAGGACGAGCGCGAGGAGGCATTGGGCAACCCGGGCGTTGGCAAAGGCAGCCGAGGCAGCAGTAACAATAATCATGCGAGGCTCGATGTTGCCAGTATAAAGTCGGGCGTGTCACCCCTGCAAAGCGAGACCAATACTCCCTCCATCATCAACAGTGTGCCTGTGCGAGGCGCTGAAGCTGTATCAGAGGCACCGGCAGAGAGGTCGCCCGTCGAGCAGCCTCTCAACATCAATACTGATACCAGTCCGGACCCCAACCAGGCTCTTCCGCCGTCTCCTGGTGTTCCACTCCTCGATTCAGTTGAAAAGCCCCGGCCGGGATATTCAGCAAGTTTCCAGAGACCGCCATGGGACCCAGTAGGGACCATGGCCGAAATGGCAACCGAGCACACAGCGCCAGCTCACATCGAAACCCATCCTGATCCGGTCGAAATGGCCGATACCGCAATTTTAGCACCTATTGAGACGAATTTTGCAGATTTGGGCATTGCCGAACTGCCAGAGCGGGCGAGTCCGGCAGAAGCAAGGCCACAGCCGCCGACACAGTCTACTCACGATTTGCTACACCAGACGAACATGAGCGACGCAGCCCTCTATGGCGCTACCTTTGGAACTGGGTCAAGGCCTCAGAATTCGTCACCCTCTCGGAAATCTCAAGTTTCCCAGGAGTCTCGGCACGATTCGGCCACAGGAATAAAGACTCCTGATCACTCTCTGCCAGAGGTGGTACCTCAGCCGGCGCCGCAACCAACGCAAAGCCCCTCTCCAGGTGCTGGCGGAAGTGGTCCTTTCACCATTAAGAGGAAGCCTTCCAAGTCGGCGGGGAAGCAGACCCAATACCAACCTTATGTACCTGGGGTAGCCAGCAGCGCATCTTCAGAGCAGTCGCGCACGACTGACTACAAGCGCCGAGAACATCGCAATTCCCTTACTCGGGATGGGTCATTAATGATGGGACCACGAACCAAGTTTGATCAGACAAGTATGCCCTCTGTTCTCAAGCCTCCTCAGCTACCGCCAAAAGTTCCTATCGATTCGTCTCAAGCCCCAAGCCCTCCTGCCAGTGACCAGAGGGCTCTCAACTCAGCCAGCCAAAATTCAGGTCCCGTCACACAGGGGCCCTTGCAACACTTTCCATCGGTGCTGAAACCAGCAAGAGGACAACCACAGAACCGAGCTCAGGAGCCGTCACCACCGCAGTCAGCATCTGCCGATATCTCACGTAAGAAAGAGAAAGGGAAGAAGGTACAATACGCCGCGTTTCAGCCGGGTCTCGCAAGTCAAAAGGGACTCCAACTGCAAGGTCCTGACGTTCAACGGCCCGAAACGACGCCTATCCAGTCATCGCAAGATCAGTACCGAATGCTAAGCCAGAATGATCCGTTGTCTGCGGCAAACACCTCACCAGCGCCGGCCTTTCTACAACGTCCGCGGGCACAGAGTGATTTTCGCCAACAACCACTGTCTAATAGTCAACACCGAGCATCGATAGACTACCCTCTCGATGGCACGCAACGACATGATTCTACACCAGACGGGGGGCGACCTCGCCAGACGTCGTATGCTTCGAGTGAGGTCTCCTCCCTTGGGCCTCCCACGGGCAGCCAGTCGTCCGTTCCCCTCCAAACTCCGTCACCACTAGAGAGCGAGGGGAGACGTCATTCGTCGGGCTTCTTCCATGGGGGGAATTCGAACTCATACTCATCGCAGTCTGGTGCTGGATTTGGTACCGCAGGATTGAGGACAGCCTCAACTTCTGGCCCCACTCCTGCATTGACGACAATGGAGACTGCCCGACAAGCCCCCAAGCCCGCGGAGAGCCAAGTTCCCCCAGCTCGACCAGGGAAGTTTCCAGTATCGCCAGTGGCCATGCCTCATCCCGATCAGGTCATGGAGTCGCAGACTTTTGGTGAAACCTGGGCTCCTTCATCGAATCGCCGACATTCCCTACCATCTGGTGGCATGGCGGACCAAGGGGCACTGCCGGTATCCCAGCAATTACAGTCAGAAAGGTACGAATTGTCCGATCAGAGCCAAGGTCAAGTACAACCTCACTTCGACTCGATTCATTGGGAGATAAGCGGCACTAGTGCACCTGAGGCTGCCCATGGCATTTCGAGGCCATTTTCGGCGCATCCTACGGGCATGCAAGCAGGACACGCTGGTAGCACACCTTCAGGAACTAAAGCTCCGATCGTACCACGGCCACCGTATACAGCCGAGGAAAATCGCCAGTCCGGGAATCGCCCATCTCGTCCTACGGTGACCCTTCCGTCACAAAACGCACTTGGCCCAATGAGCCCTTCCACGCCTATAAGATCTCCCGGTCATCTACTTCACCCAATTCACGAGCATAATGAGATTAACAATGTGATGGTCACTGCTTCTGCTACCCCGGAAGCTGGAGACCCTTCTGACGCTCGAGGGTACATGTATCCTTCTGGACCGAGCCCTCTCTTCTCTTCCGCTTCCAATCCAGCCCATTACTCAGTGGCGAACAACCATCCATCTCTCCAGTCTCCAGTCAACATTGCAGGTCTACCTCAGTCAAATCGAATGCGCCCCGGATCAACACCGCCTGTCATGCAACATTCGGCAAACGGAAAGGAAAAGGGAGGCTGGCTATCCAAGTTCAAGAAAGGAGGCTCTAACAAGTCCACTGTCCTTCAAAAGGCGCCGCCGCCACAACAGGGCACTCCAATCCAACAGGCGCTGCAACCCGCGCGTTGACCACAAGGCCTGATGACAAGGAATCCCATGTCTGCTTGCGTACCAACAGACCAGGAGGCAGGTCAGCAGTCGATGCCAGTGATGTCTAAACAACCAAATAATGTCTCCAGCGTCCAATATACGCCATTCTCCCCACCAAGGAATTCGGCCTCCTTGGTTAGCCATGCTGTCGCTCAAAATACTAGCAGTATCCAGCAAGCACCAATTCGCCAGAATCTTTTGGTTCAAAGTAATGCGTCTCTCTTTCCAGGGCCAATGCCTCAGCCTACTTCTCAAGCCCAGCAGCACTATGGTGAGGGGGGACAGGTCCAACAACGTTCAGCCAGTGTGCCACCCGGAGGCTTGGCTCTGCCCTCAGGGTCATCGATGGACCAGATGGATAATCTTTCAGACGCTGCTTCTGTTTCGACCATGGATGTGTCTGAAGCGCAAGCGCAGCCGGTACTGAAGCCGCAGCTTGTCACAGTTGAGAGGCATGTTGCTGTTCAACCGAACCGGGAGCAACCCGCCATTCAAAGTGCTCGTCACATTGCCCAGTCAGCCCGCCCGAATGCTGAAGGACGTTCTGACCAGGCACTCGGAGACAGCGAACTTGTTGTTCAGCCTTTGTTCTCAAAGTCTCAAACCCAGACTACTGTAAGTGCAGTCCCTGTTAATCAAGGTACTGTTGCCCAGAATAAGTGGGCTAAAAAGCCTGCTGTGGACTACTCTGGGGACGATTGGGGTGACGATCCATGGGATTATCAGTAGACATGTAGATGAACTTCAGCCACGCCATGATGTATGGCTCAAACTGAGCACGGTCTTCTTTTTCGGTGACGAGATATAGTTTCATGCAGTCCCTAGATACCACACCAGTACCATCTTTTATAATTGAATCAATCACAATGACCACCGAAAACTCCGATGCGAAGAGACATCGCCAATAGCAGTGATAGAAGCAGAATCTAGCTCACATACTCTGGGTTGAGTATCTTTCTGTTCTGCAAGCATCGCATTCCGAAATCTGGTGTAATATGGAACTACCAGCCTGTCTTCATCTGTTATCGATATCTGAGGCATTGCTCTTGGTAATTGGCGTTCAGGCCTAGCAATAGGACGGAGGCCGTAGAGGCGGTCCGAATGTCGGACAATTATCCGACAGCACCATACCTGCATATTTCCAAGTGAGGAGGTAACAGTTTTAATTGGGGGTGTTGAATTTTTGATCATCGTATTCTTGGAGATATAGGAATCATTGTATCGATTCATTCGATGTCGCCGAGCTGTACGGCTTCATACCCCGATCATTCTCAAGGCTTCCAAGCCCAGATACACAACGACGTATCTCGAGAATGCCCGGCACCATGACAAACAAAATAGGAGAGAAGACTCAGTCCAAGAACCCAGACTCCACCGATGCTGCAGTCGGTGTGTCACGAGGACACGCAAAGACCATCCGAGACCATAATGACAGCGTTGAGAGAGGCGGTGACATTGCCGCGCACCTTGTCGACCAATTCGCCAATGAGCCGGACTACGATCGGCAAGAGGAAGTCAAGCTACGGTGGAAAATTGATCTCCGACTCGTGCCCATGCTATGGCTCAACATCACCTTCCCGGCAATGGACAAAGTCACCCCGTCCACGGGTGCCCTGTACGGGATGCGCGACGACTTGGGGTTGAAAGGAGATCAACACGCTTGGGACGGTTCAGCATTCTACGCAAGTCCTCCCTCTCGTCACGCACGTCTTACTCGGTGCCCTTGAGGCCCCCGTCGCGCCAGGGAACTTTATTATCATGACGATGTGGTATACACGCCGAGAACAGCCCGTCCGCGTGGGGTTATTCTACACGGGCCTCTCGACCATCATCACGGGGGCGATAGGCTGGGCTGTGGGGTTTATTCCTGGTGAGAACGCCTGGCGCTCATTTTTTGTTTTACGGATAGAATTTCGATTGCGTATGGTGTGGTGGCGGGTGTGTTGTTACCGGATAATCCCGTCTCTGTGAAATTAATCTCGGATAAGGAGAGGTTTGTGACCGTGGAGCGGTTGCGTGGTGATCAGCTGGGTATTGAGAAGAAGACGTTTTCGAGGCGGCAGTCTGGTGGGACGTTGGTTGATCCGAAGACGTGGCTCATGTTTGCTTTCAGTGTCTGGATTTCTATCCCGAACAGAGGGTTGACGATGATTGTTAGTGTGCCTGGGTTCTCGCTGCTTACGGGGGTTTTGCAGACTTTGAGTGGCTATATTTGTAACTTTGAGGTGTTTTGGTGCGTGAGAAGATTTGGGAAGGGAGTGCAAGTGAGAGGGTTGGTTGTGGTTTGTGGGTTGGTTGTTGGGATGGTTGCTATCGTTTTGTTGTATACTTTGCCGGTTGATGATTACTCGGCGAGGCTGTGGGCCTTGTGTTGGTCTCATTTCTATCTTGGGCTGTATATCGGTAAGTCATTTTCTCTCTTTTCCCATGTTTGGCATATGCAGACTCGAAGCCGAAGATCTTCGAGACTGATGAAGAACTTAGTTGGCCTGGACATGCATAGTGCCAACACGGCAGGCCACAACAAAAAGGTCACGACGAACGCCATTGTCTTTGTGACATATTGCATCAGCAACATCATCGGCCCCCAATTCTTCAAGGCGGCTCAGGCCCCGCTTTATCTGCTTGGCACGGGCGCCAGGCCGGTCTCGTACGCCACGAGCATTTTCACGATGGGGTTTTATATGCTGTACTGTTGGAGTGAGAACCGAAGGAGAGACCGAGTGGATGCTGCGAGGAGAGGTGACCGAGTACACTTGGATTCGGACTTCAGAGACTTGACGGACCGAGAGAACGTGCATTTCCGGAATCTTTGGTAGTAGAACATCGAGTAAGCATGCAGAGAGATAAAAGCTTGCGAATCCACAACATGCTTTGTCGGCTTTCACCAGTGATTCAGCACTGGCGAGTGACAGTGAATCCATAAGGACGTTGTCTGACCGTCCGAACTACCTTCGTTGACAGAATGGTCGCCTTTGTTCATTGGCAAGTGAGGTAGGACCTCGACCATTATTCAAGGTTATAACCATCAATCGATCTTTGTCATTCAGTCCTTATTGTTTGTGGCACTGCCGACTTTGTTTTCAAATTTGCTTAGTGGCTTTCAAAGTATCTGTGCCCACGACTGGGAGGATATATAGATGAACTTTAGCCGTCTTGACCCTGATTGTATTACACAACCATCATCATCACAACATATTGAACTCAGCATCTCACCAACAACACAATCACAACCAACAAGGTTAAGTACAACCCGAATCCTAATAACCCACTTGAACACAGATTTGATAACTACTAAGTTAGTACTGGCAATGGCGCAAGTAACAGACTTCCTTGATCGCGACCAGCTTAAATACATGATTACAAATTTCCTCATCGACACCAACAATCGCGACGACGTCGAGGGTTGGGAAGATGTGCAAAGAGCCACCATCGACGCTTTGGGAGACGTCGTCGTCCAGATTGCTCGGGCGCAAGGGAAGGCACAAGTGGAAGGCAGAGGCGACTCCCCGGAACCAATGGACTTGGACAATGCAGGGTCTGGAAAACAGGAAGGATCAGATTCGCATAGTAGTTCGGATCCAGATGACTTTGTGAGAGACGACATTCCTCCCCAGGGACTTCAGCAACCCAAGAACGCCCCCAGCTCCTCACAACAGCCCTATTCAGGCTCCGACCTTGAAGAGCCTGCTCCGAAGAATCCGCGCGGTGGTAAAGGAGCGATCAAGACCAAGAAAACCCCTCGAAAGAATGCCAAGGTTCCGACTGACCGTGTATTAAGCCTAGAGGAACGCAAGACGAACCGATGTGTGTTGGGATGTGGCGTAGGTTACACGACAACGGATCGCCTCAAGAGAGTGAGTTAATTTCCATTTCTCCTTGATGCCCATTTATTTCTAATGAAAAGTCAGCTGACAGTTTTTATAGCATTACAAAGACAATCACGCCGGTTGGGAGGAGGCAGTTGTGTCTGCTGGTCAGACCCTCTTACAAAATCAGCGCAAATACACGAAGCATGAAATATAAGAGGGGGAATTCGTTTTGAATATGGGAGGTTTGTTATGTGAATGACTTTGCTGATCAGAGTGCAAAAAGGGGGTTTTAGTTTTTGTCTGCATTCAATTTTCAAAATTCAGGGTTTCGGATGTTGAATACACATGCGAGGAGAAAGACTGTGATATCCAAGCAGGCTGGGGTATTCTGAGCCAAGATTGTGCTAGAGGGGGGGTGAAATAGTTGACATGTCAGAAAATCTCGAAAGCTCCCTTCACAATCCTAGTTACAAACCTGCCTCGCGTAAATAAAGGATCGACGATCCATTTAACTTTGTTTGCTACTCTTCTCTTAACCTCACCGGCACCCGGCGTTACGGTTGCGCCAAAGCATATCCCGCAAAAGCCGCAAGCGGGCTACCGCACCACTCAGGTGAGTGCGCGTAAATTGTCCCTATCTTTGCTGGCTTCCTAGACACATTCTAACTCTAGTCGACGCCTTTGACCAGGGCTGGCGTGACGAGGTGATGTTGGACCATTCAGATGCCCGGGAGCTACGGAGTATTTCATGGGTGACAGCGGCGTCTATTCGTCCATGCCATCCCACCGGCCCGTTGAAACAGACCGTCAAAGTTCAAGGGATGTCCCGCTAGCTTGCCTGATGACAGGACCACCGGTTCATCTTAGACTCGGGGGCTAATGCTCTTGGCCCACTTACAAACGTCAGGTCGGCATTCGGCAGTCGAAGTTGATGTCGGACTCCTGCCGGCAGCATGGCGAAGTATAAGGTGATCAACATGCCAACGCTATTCGAATCCTCAGTTCATAACGGCATCTTTTCATCTTCCGCGGGTCGTAACAACTCAGTCCATTCCTTTCTATCACTTTGGCAAATCTGCCTTTCCATTCCTTATTCCTTTTCTCGCCGAACATGCGGTGCTCAACTTTCCTCGCCTTGGCTGCAGCAGTCTCCAGCGCGTCCGCTCATTACTTCTTCCCTCACTTGATCGCCAACGGCAACTTCACCGGATACTACGAGTACGTCCGCGACAACAGCGCAAACTACATGCCCTTCAAGAACGGCTACGACAGCACCGACCTCCGATGCCGGACCGGCTCAATGGAGCACGCCGCCACTACGGGCGTCTACAAGGTCAAGGCGGGCGACGAGGTGGGCTTCGGCCTCAATTTTGGCGGCTCGATTCAGCATCCGGGTCCCATGCAGGCCTACCTCTCCAAAGCACCGGGTGACGTGCGCGAGTACGAAGGTGACGGCGACTGGTTCAAGATCTTTGAGCTTGGGCCAAAGTCTTTTTCTAGCGAGGGCATCGAATGGGGTGTCACCAACGTTGGAAACTTCACGTTCAAGTTGCCCGAGGAGACGCCGGCCGGGCAGTATCTTTTGCGAATCGAGCACATTGGCGTTCATGGAGCTGGAGACTTTGGTGGTGCCGAGTTTTACTTCAACTGCGCCCAGATCGAAGTCGAGAGTAGCAGCACCGCGGTCCCTGGCCCGACTGTCAAGATTCCCGGGTTATACGATGGTTACGAGCCCGGTATCGAGTTCTACATGTACCGTCCGTGGATTGTCAACTTCACGATGCCCGGACCGGCAAGATGGCCCCAGGCCCTTGTGGGAAACGTCACCGCAGAAGGGGTAAGTGTGGCTCCGACAGCTACGCCTTGGACACTCTCGGCAGTCACTTCAACAGTAGGAGGGCAAGATGCTTCATCTTCGGCGGCTGTCGTCGTGCCCACGAGCCTTATCTCCGCAGTTATGCCTTCTGCGAACGCCACGTTTTCGTACGCATCTACATATACAGCTGGCGCAAGTGAATCGGCAATTTTAAAGAGCAAGATTAGTGAGTTGGTGGCAACAACTTCTAGCTTACCCACGACTTTGAGCGCCACGGCCGCGCCTTCGACCACTGCAAAGAAGTCGCGATGCCCACCACGAAGCACAGTTATCAGCACGGTTTATGTTACTGCAAGTGCTTGAACCTATTTCTGAGAGTTGAATGTCTTCTGATACTTTTGAGATCTGTGATGCTACACGAGCAAGGCGATTCTGGGACTTGCTAAAGGCGAAGTGCTCTGTGTTGAGACTTGGTTGCCACATTACCCAAGATACTGGAGTCAAAGGTATGCCCCGAGGCCTGACAAATGGCCCCTGGGCTAAGTTCTATTCTTTCTTCACTTCTATATGTATCATTATTCTTTACACATCGAATATCAAGGCTTTATAGATGCCACAGGTCAGAAGTGAAGAGATTCCTGGATGTAATTTGTAATGAACGGAGTGAGACATTGTCAGACTACGTTACGTTTGAGTCACCACGGACGAGCCACGCCGTACCAACACATAACGTTTGAGTAATAATCCTCTGAGTCTTATCAGCCTGGTAACTCAAAAAAAAAAAGCCAAGGGTACATCTTTTCCGGCTCGTTAGCTATCTTGACACGGTAATCCCGGGTCCAACATAAGGGGTAAATACCAAGACTACCTGCATACCAGGCGTCGCCGCGGTCCGCCCCATATTCATTTTCCAAAAGTTCCCACCCGGTCCTCGTAGCCTCTTCACTTGGATTCCTTCCAGTAAGGACCAGAAATATGAACCATCAAAACACGCCCGTCCAGAGCCAAGGAAACCTCAGTAGAAGTGAGGTCAAGCCGATTCAGTCAAACAGCGAAGTTGCCGTCAGTTAATGGCGGTTGGCCAAGGGCCGGCCCCCACAACCATAGCAAACAATAAAAAAGCTTGAAAAAGCATCTTCCACCCAACATTAAACCAACCCGAAGGCGCCACCAAACAAACACAAAAACACAAATAAGCAACCCCAGGGAGAAAAAAAGACCAAAAAGAAACTCCCCTCATCACCTCCTCTTAGCAAAGATGCCGCTCTTGTACTTGGACACCGCGCGAAGCACAGACATGCCGAAGGCCGGAAAGACAGCCACAGTAGACCCACGACAACAGGGCCAACAAGCTTTGCCCACACCATTAGCCAAAGCTGATCCCACAAAAGACCACACCCGATCTGTGTGAGCCAAGTGAAAAGCGGCCGGAAACACGGCGTGCAAAATCATCCTCATCTATCGGATGTTCTGCTGCTGGCGGCGCCGGGCCTGAGGCAGGAGTCGTCGGGGTCGGGGCGGGGTGGGGCAGCGGAGGGGCTTCGCTCCCCCCGGAGCTATCCTCGGCAGTGCGAGCGGCGCAGGACTTGGCGGCGGTACTAAAAGTTAGCCGCTGGTGATTATATGGGTGGTAGGTAGCATAATGTGCTAAGCTTCTAGTCACTATCGTATTCTAGCCGCAATATACCCAGAGCAGAGGCGGGACGGGGCAAGACAAGGCCAGGGAAGCGGGTGACAGCGGGTGACAGAAGATGGAGACGAGAAGAAACAACGAAGCAAAGAAAAAGGGACGAGAATAGTTAAAGACGAGTAGAGGTAGAAACCGGCGAAGCTGGGTGAATCTTGGTTGCTGAAAGACGGGAAAACCGAACAAAAGTGGTGAGAGTAGATAAGTCGGCGTCTAAAGAGAAGAGGAATCAGGGATAGGATGGGGAGAGCGAAGGGGTCTCAAGGGCTATTCGATATTTATAAGCGCCTCAACACTTCTTGCTCTACCTTTATCAAGTGAGCATTGTAGGAAAGTGGATGTGAGGCTGTCCGCCGAAACGAAGGACGAGTGCGTGGCGCACCATACTAGCAGTAGCAATGCAGTCCACAAAAGAAGCCGAGCTAACAGAAGAAGGCAAAATAGAAGCTTCCAGATTGTCCGTCGTGACGGAGTCTTGCGGTGACCCCATCATGGAGCACAGCGGCCGGACGATTTGCACTTGATGTTGGCAGTCGTAATCTTGGGCTATTATTGCCTGGCATGTCTTAGATGACGTGACGGTCCTTCCAGAAGTGAAAGTCCATTCCGATTGAATATTGAGTGCCTTCCAAGCTGATCACTCTTTGGATTGTGACGTACCTGAAGGTTTTACCTCAGTCACATGTCCCTTTTTCCCGGGGTCCCGGCCTTGCTCTTTACACATACCTGACTCACCAAGTGAGTGCCACCAAGCACAGTTCCTTCTCTCAGTTCCACGAAAATCACCAGGAGAAAGAGCATGGACCAATAGCTTCCCGCTAGGCGATAGATGTATGTGTGTCCCTCTTTCCACTCAAGGTGTGAGGCACACCTCCATCCGTCTTTCCCAGTTCCGTTAAGAGATGTTTTTCTTGATTCGCTATTGCTCCAATAGTCAATATTGCTTACACCGCCTAATGACACCACCACCAGCACAAGCACCAAATCCGGCTGCTCCTCCATCAGCAACATCAGAGGCAGCGACACCGCCGCCCCCTGCTAGCAGTGGCAGCAGCAGCAACAACACCAAATACGCCGGCCACCCCTCAACGGACAGATCCTGGTAGAGGATGGCATTCTTTGACAACTTGTTTCCTCGGTGGGTTTACATGGATCTCTGGCGCAACCAAGTTGGCTATGGTCTTATTAGTAATTGCTCGACGGTGTAAATACATGTACGTACTTTAAGAAGGGGTAATAAGGTTTTACATACTTATCCGACCTCACTCCCCTTATATCCGCCCATGAATGATATCAACACAAAGCAGAACTAAGAAATACTGAAGATGGATGCACTGCCGCTATCCAAGGTATTGGCGGTTAATAGGACATGGGTCCAACTTTGGTTAATGGTGTGGGCAACGCTTATTAGCGATCACTGTTGTCGTAGGTCTGCTGTAGCTATCTTTCTAGCCTTCAGGTATGTACGTATTTCGAGCGGTGGCTAAATATAGGTTCGGCATTAGGTACTTCTTGGCCTTGGGGGTGAGATGACTTCTTTTGCTGGTGCCGTAGCGTCTTGAGGCTGTATGGACGGACCTGAGGTGCCTTTGTCGAGGTTTTTGCTCTTTACGTTCGTGGTGGCTTGCGTGCGGCCAGCCCTTACGCCAAAAGCAAAGTAATTATGGGAACCTCGCGGTCTGTTTGCATTGGCTTGCACTTTCATGAACTCGCTATTAAACAGACACTGTGATTGGGCTACCTACCTTTGTTAGGTAGGCCTATTTACGCTGCTGAAGTCGTCTTCCGGCATTCTTGCGAATTTTGTAAGCCTCTATACTCGTGGAATGATCATCGACTGACCAAGTCTCGAACTATCTCAAGCTACCTTATGCAAAGTATCTTTGAATGTGGAAACGATCAGGAGTATCCATGCTTTCTGAACACTCTAAAAAGAACAAAAGCGTTAAGCTTTTCTCTAAAAAAAAAAACCCTGGTAGTCTGACGAACTTGGGCTGACTTGAACCCTGATGACCTTGTGACATGCCGCCTGTGTGCCTTGGGTATTTAAGTTTCAAATGCCTCTGAAGTCTTATGTCTACTCAACACCCTCGGTTACAGTGTGTTAGTACGCTGCAGAGCCAGTCGCCATCTCCGACCATAATACCTACTAATACTCGTTCACGAATTCCAATCCATAAAGCGAATCATGGCTTTGGGTGCACTCCTGGTGGTAACGTCGCATCTAATTCAGTCCAAGCTATCATGCAGAGAAATTGAAGCTGGCCGCAAAGACAGGAGTCTAGCACAGAACTCCCCTATTAAGACAGAAGCAGAGTCGCAAAACTTCTCTTCTGCTCCGCAGACCACTACTAAGACACACAATAAGCCACTACGAAGGATTCACTCGGTGGCCTCGCTACACTGGGCTGGAAAAAGCTGATGAGGTACCCTGGGACCCAGATCATTGAGTAATAACTTACATGTACTCACGTTATCATGCCAGGGTTTTGGAGGTTCTATGAAGGCCGGAATTCTCCCTCCAATAGCTAGATGTAAGTAACTAGTGAATGATACTGCCAATATCAATTGCTTGAGCGATTGCCTACTATCATGCTGCCTGATCAGGCAAATTGTGGTCCGGGTCGGAGAAAATGCCATTAGAGCTGAATGGAGCTTTGAAGTTCATCAGGTCGGCAGGCTGAAGGCGCATGTAGACGTGTTGTGATGGGTTTGTGAGAATCCACTGGCGCTGTAGATGAAATTCAGCATTCCGCAATTGACTATGAATTGTACGAAAACCGCTAGATATTCCGGTCCTGAGATTGATGATGTCAAGACTTCCGAGATCATCCCAAGTTAACCCCTGTGACAATCAGATGTGGCTGAAAACAAGGTGTGGCGTCAACGGTATCGGATTTCAAAGCACGCGATAACCCCCCGCATGTACGCGATAGCGAAACCGCTATCAATTAGTAAGAGCCCGGGAGCCGCGACTTGCCTTCATCAACGTCAACGACACAATTACCGACGTCAGCGGAATCACCGGGGAGTGTCACCAATTTTTGCATTTGAAACCATGGCAGCACAGAAAGACCTAGAAAGTCAGCCGCAGCAGTCGGACGAGCGGACCCCGCTCCTGGGGACACCCGCCGAGGCCGGATCAAGCCAGCAGGCGGCAGAGCATCAGAGCCACGACAATGAAGCCAACGGAGGCATCCAGGATCCTGAACAAGTGCCTCTTATCACGGGCCAGGATGGAGAAGAGAAAAAAGAGAGGACTACCAGTTGGTGGCTATGGAGAGCGTTCTGGGCAGTTCTCGCCATCTTCGTTCTCGCTGTTTTTATCAAAGGCTGGATTGATGCCAAAGACACCAACGTGAGTCGGTCGGACGATCGGTTTAGCAAATCAATAACTAACTCGTCGCCGCTTAGTTTGACCTCAAAGCAGCTCTTATGAGAGCTCTGGGCGGTGGCTTGAGTGGCGCCGCGGCTATGGTCTTGCAAGTTTTGACACTCATGGTACGTAAAGGAGACTAGGTGGAAGCCGATGTTTTGCTGCCAGGAAGCATCAACGATACTAATCGTAGATTGTCACTTAGCCCATCAGAACTATCATGAACTACCAGTATCGCTTTGGGTCTGGCTTCAGGGAGGCAACTCGCACTCTTTATGAAGATGGAGGTGTGCGCAGGTATTACCAGGGCATTGGAGCCGCATTGATCCAGGGTACGTGGTGCATGCAGCGTCCCTCATGAATTGAATCTGTCAGAGCTGTGCTCACATGCTGGAGAACAGGGCCGGTTTCCCGCTTCGGCGACACTGCCGCTAACGCCGGTATCCTTGCACTTCTCGAGTCAAACTCGTTCTTAAACCAGCTCCCTACCTTGATCAAGACCATCTTCGCTTCTCTTTGGTAAGCTTACATCTACCTCAGTCTCATCTCCTGGAACACAGACCCATCAAAGTACTAATCTGGTTTGACTCTGCAGTGCTGCTGCTTTTCGCATGATCTTGACTCCCATTGATACTCTCAAGACGACGCTGCAGGCTCAGGGCGCCAAAGGTACCGCTATCCTGAGACAACGTGTAAAGACAAATGGTATCGGAAGCTTGTGGTGGGGAGCTTTTGCGACTGCCGCCGCCACGTTCGTCGGCCATTACCCTTGGTTTGCAACCGTACGTCAAACATTTCCCACATCCTGCACATAGAAATCCAAGCTGACGACCGATGACAGTACAACTACCTTTCCGCCAACATTCCCGAACCGGAAAAGAGCGACATTTTCGTGTGGCTTTTGCGTCTTGCGTTCATTGGATTTTGTGCTTCCGTCATCTCTGATTCTGTCTCCAACTCGCTGAGAGTGGTGAAGACCTACAGACAAGTCAACGACACGCAAATTTCATACTGTAAGTCGAATCTTCTCCCGATGAACCATACCAAACTTCTATCAAATATCTTATTTACTGACCACAACTTTCTCCAATTTGCAGCTCAAGCAGCAAAGATTATCATACAAAGAGAGGGCTTCCTTGGCTTCCTAGGACGTGGTCTCAAGACCCGAATCTTAGCCAACGGCCTCCAGGGTGTCTTGTTCTCTATCCTTTGGAAGTTGTTCCTCGACCTGTGAGTTAAATGAAGAATACTTCATAACACCAAAGTTCTGACTTTGAATAGCTGGGAGAAGAAGACGCACTCTTAGTGTCCATCACGCTGAACCTTGCTTGTTAATCGCCAAGCGACAAGTCGAGATTCTGAGAGCCGCCCGACTCTCTGTATGTATTCACCTAGAGAAGGAATGACTAATCCACCATCGAGGCAATAGAGATCTGCATCGTAGTAACTTGAGTATGGGAAGTGTTTGTACGCGGAGCTTGAAGTATTTTTTGATCTTTGTGTGGAGGTCATCCGATATTAGATCCGATATATGCTGCATGTGGCGAACACTGCTGCAATCAAGTACCTCGCATAGTATCTCAGTGATTGAGGCTGGTTTCCGTCTTGCTAAATTTCACTTAGTAACACGTAGTCTGAGGCTCCACCTTGTCTCTAAACTTTCTGCTACCCATGACGTGAGAAGTCATTGTGGAATGGAGTAGCCCTTTGATTACTCCAAGAAAGGCGTAACTATAAGCCAAGAAACATGCATGGCTGACCTACAACCATTACTGAGCCGACGGGTCCGAAGGGCCTCATGTATACCCGAAAACCTGGTGGAATATGTCTGCAAAGGCAAGGGTGATCAGCAACCTCAAGACCCTAAATGCTTCTTCCACTTTTGAACGCCTTCGGAAGCACGTTTCGGCAAGTATGTACGCCCGCCCACTTAGAGAAAATCCAGCCCATGCATAGCTTGTGTCACAATGTTGATCCTAGGGAAAAAGACCCCGTTCTTTCCCGACGTATCGCTACATAGTCCGCCCCCTAGGGTTTGTGTCCTTAGATTAAATTGGTTCGGTTGGCTGTGGTTCTCTGCCGCGGAGGGCTTGACCCGTGGATGCAGGCAGCAGTGGTAGCTAGAATACCTAAGGTAGGTACTCAAGCCTTGGTCGAAAGAGACGTGGAAACTAGTCGCCGACTAATAACTTGTTTGTATTTATAAAATCGGGATCACATGGATCATGTTGCGCGTAGTTTTCATTGCCCTTAAGCAGTTGGGTATTGCGAGGCAATTTAGACGGTATAGCTCATCGAGTCCCGAGTCGCTATATCCTTGTCAGCCACTCTGTCTGCATGGCATAAAGCGCCCGGAGGCTGACCCGGTGTAATCCAGGCCGGCTCCGATATGCGGATAAGGTTCGAGGAGGGAGACATCAGGCAGTCTGTTCGAGTTTGGTTTGTAGACTTAGTCTCAGAGTGATCAGCTTGATACAGTATATGAGGCTTTTCTCAATTAGCACAGTGGCTTTCAATTGACCAGTCGCCTTTTCAAGGCGGCAAATCGAACACGAGCCCATTACCGTTCGATGTCTCCGTCTCATGTCTTGGTTTGTAACGGGGACCTCACGATACATCAGTTGTAACCAGAATGGCTTCTCTTAGACAAACAGATGTTAAATTGCACTAGTATTGAGGACTTGAGGGGTAATCACTCTTTCGTGAAGAATGCGAGCCCAAGGAAACCACGCTGATAAGGCACAATTACAACGGAGGCCAGCTTGGTACTGTAGCAAGCCCCCGCGAGACGCCCGCTTCAAGGACCGAGATCATGACACTAAAGACTTCTCGTATGGAGTTGGATGTGGCTTCAAGACATGGTCGAGATTCGAAGCCACTAAGGAAGCTCATGAACCAATGGGGCCATCCCGCTGTCAAATGCCCGCTTAGGAACGTTGAGGTTCCACTTCTACGGACTTCCCCAGTCTTCACTCCGGATCCGGGCAATCCATTGAAGGCAAGTTTGGCCGGCTGAAATGTCCCCCTTGTAGCCGATTCCTTCTGCCTTGTTCTTGTCAAATAGACAATCCAAGCCCGAGCCGTTGCCTGGCGCGCGCGACCGCGCGGGAGGCTTCCGGGGCCAGTCTGTTCGTCCCGTCTCGCGATCTCGCGAGTTGGATGTCATCCGATGTGCTCAGCGACTAGCACGCGAGCTGACATCTGAGGTAGCCAGTCGCCAATTATATCACACGACCCAACGGCCCATTCTAGATGGCTTACCTCCACTGATAAAGACGCATTTTGCGGCGATCTTCCTCCCGCGCGCAGAGGGGGCGCCACGACTGCAAGTCAGCACGGCACTGAGAGTGCCGCCTGTTGTAATACACTACTGGCCAATCTCGTATCTTGCTGCGTCAAGAGGGCAAGTTCAATTTGGTATTTCCACTGGCACGAGATTACAGGCACAACCAAATGTCGTGCGCATAGTAAGCCCTTCTGGTGCATACCCGCGCTCCTGACGGCTTGCTCCCGCGCGTGCTCGGATGATTTATACGGGCCAATCTCGAGCGAGCTGTCTCAAAGGCTTCTAACGTCATGTTTTACTGAGGCTGTTATATCCGTAGGAAGAATTGAAGTCGATAAACTTTGAACAAAACGAAAGACCAAGGGAAGTGACAATTATTCTACTAGGCCTTTAGCGTATTTAGCTCTGCGTGGTGTCAAGGGTCCTGGGCGGAATCGGGTGTGGCCAAGTCACGATGTGACACTGCCCCTGCCATGCGGCGCAGGCGTCTTCTATATCCCTGCTGGGAAATCCTGCAGGTCTCTCATCACAATGAGCCTGTGAATGGGGTCTTGAGACATATCCACCCCCATTGATTCACCTCAGCAATGAATTTGTGCGCAATAATAGGCTGCCGCTTTCGCTTACACAGGAATGGTCGATGTGCCTCTCAGGGAGTCTATTTGCCAGATCGGGAAAGCCAGTGACGGAATGTGCGAGTATTTCGAGCTAAGACAGCACTTGGCAGTGATGTTTATGGTCGGAAGGAAGCACACATGTGATGGATGCTTATCGCATTGACCCATGGCTCGCTCTGCTTCGGACTTCGCGGGGTCAACATCGTGCGATTCTATTTCGAAAGAAGGCAGTCGAAAGACTTTGATGCCCGTTGAAGGCGTTCGGAGTCGACCTCATGTACACATCGTGTCGTGTAACGATCATTGCAATGCGGTCTCCGGAGCGATGAAGAGCGGAATTGCTCCCTTTTGCTGTATGCCTGCACTTTCAGCTGGGGACCCCGATAACACTGGAGTTCCGGCCTCTTCGCAGAGAGGGACTTTGGACGGTCTCGACCGAGCCAACCCACCCAAAGGCCTTTCGGCAAGTTTGCCAGCCCTACATGCAGCAGGGTTGAGTAACTGGTTCTCAGGTAGTCACGTAGTAGTATATCTATCTGCAATGCCACCCTTCCACTGTTCACATCTCCCCTCCCTGGCTCCCCAGAACATCCACTTTTACCCTCTTCTTACGCGGCAAGCCCTGACAGCCTCATTATGGAGAGCTTTACTCTCATCATATTTTATCTTGGCATCCTGGTGGTGCCTAGCTTCTTCTTTTCTTCTCTTCGACGCTTGCTAGGATGGTCTACAAAGACCTCTCTGGATGTGAAGACATCCAAGCCCCCTACCAAGTTTCCCGGTCCTAAGCAGTACCCCATTGTCGGCCGGGTCCACGACTTGCCCAGGTTTGCCATGTGGCTCAAGCTCAAGGAATGGGCCGATGAGTTTGGGCCGATTTACCAAACCAGCATGCTTGGTCAAAAGTTTGTGATCATCTCTGATGAGGGAATGGCTCAAGATCTCCTCATCAAAGATGGCAACAAGTTTGCCGGACGACCCCAGATCAGGGCTCTCATTGATCACAAGTTGGGCCCGGCATACTCTGCTTTGATGGACCGTCATGGTCAGTAGAATAACAAAATCTACAAAACCGAGCATGAACATGAAGCTGACTGGATCAACAGACACTTGGAAGCACCAAAGAAAATGGGTCCATGCGGCTATGGCGGCTGCTCATCAGCAGCACTTCTATGGTCATATCGAGAATGAGGTTAAGCGATGGCTTGTGACCCTCCTTGTTGACCCAGAGAAGTTTCACGGAAACACTCGCGAATTGACTGGACGTATAATCAGCCGCCTCGCGTGGGATGACTCAACGCAAGGACGCGCCTATGGCGAGAGTGCCATCGAAACTTTGACAAGGATGTCAATCTCAGGGCCAATTGTCAATACTATGACACCACTGTGGCATCTCGCCGACCTTGTCCGGTATAACCCTTGGCGCAAATATGAAATGAACCGGGAAAAGAACCAGCGGGCTTGGTGGTTGAAAACATTCCGGCTCGCCAAGGCGAGATATCTGAAGGGAGACTTACCAACAGACACCTGGACCTACCGGTACTTCGAGCAGCTGCAGAAGAGTGGAAACGAGACTCTCAAGCAGACTGAAAAAGCCGAAGACTTCGCAGCCTGCATGCTCGGCTTCCAGTGTCTTGTCGGAGTTGTCACTATTTCTGGGCCCATGCAATTCTTCTTGATGTGCATGGCGCTCCATCCTAAATGGCTGAAGAAGTGCCAGGAGGAGATTGACAGGGTCTGTGGCGACAGAATGCCCACTCGAGACGACTTCGCCGAACTTCCGACAGTAAGATCTTGTTTAAAAGAGACCCTTCGATGGAGATCTGGAGTACCTCTTGGTGAGTTGTTCCTCATGAGGCAACGAAGTGGAGTGGGATTGACAATTGACACCATCTGCCTAGGGGTTCCCCATCAATGCGAGCAAGATTCCGAGTTCCGGGGTGTAAAGATCGAGAAAGGAACTATCATCCTTGCCTGCGAGTGGTATGTCGCTCCTTGCTGATCTTTCGGGAACCTTTGACTGACGTGACACGACTGCAGGAACATCAACCGTGTTCCGGACAAGTATCCTGACCCAGAACACTTTCGTCCGGATCGCTACCTAGATTCCAGTTTCCCCACGTATCAGGAGCCTCTCAGTCGGTACCCGAACTTCCGTGACGGAGTGGGCATGCATACGTTTGGCTGGGGTCGTCGAACATGCCTGGGCCAGAACCTTGTAGACGATGAGATGTTCGTCGCAGGAGCAGGTGTATGCTGGGCTTTCGACATGAGCCTCAAAAAATGCCCCTCCACTGGCGAGGACGTGACATTCGATACACAGGCGACGAACTCCAACGTCATTCTAGAGCCTCTGCCATTCCCCATGCAGTTCAAGATCAGAAACCCCGAGCGAGCCAGAGATGTATTTGAGGGGTACAATGCTGTCAGGGATGCATTGAAGGTTTGATCCTGAAAGCTCGAACAATTTGAGGCAATGGTGTGATTCAATATTTTGTTATGTAGATAGAATAGAAGACTGTGTTGGTGTTGCAACAAATGCAGCAAATTCATATCTTACTGGTATTATCTTATTTCTTACGGTAAACCTCTCCAGTTCTCTCAATCTCAAAGTTGGCGTCCTTGCCACGACCCTCCTTTTCAAACTGCCTTACCAGAGGCAGAACTTCGCGTCCAAATTGCTCAATCTCTTCATCGTAGTGCAAGAAAGCAGTGAGCACTAGGTTGACACCCAGACTCTTCAATAAAACCATCCGCTCGGCAACTTGCTCCTTGGTACCGATAAGCTTTGTCTTGAAGCCATCATTGTACTGTACCAAGTCATCAAACTTGCTGTCAGCCCACATGCCCTTCTTGTTGGATGTGCTGGCGCCTGCTTCCTGAACGGAGGCTCGAAATGCTTCGACGGCCTCCTTGTCGGCCTTGCCCTGGATCTCCTGCAACACGCGAACGGCCTCTTCTTCGGTCTCACGAACGATGACGAAGCCATTTACGGCGAAGCGAACTTGGTCCTCGCGACCGACCTTTGCCGCGCGGGCCTTGACGTCCGCAATCTGGGTGCGAAAACCGTCGAGGTCGTTGCCGTTCATGAAATACCAATCACTGACCTCGGCGCCATTGTTCCTGGCGTCGTCGCTGTTGCCGCCCTGGAAGATCTCTGGATGGGGCTTTTGAACAGGCTTAGGGTTGAGCACGTAGTTTCTGTACCGGTAAAAGTCGCCGCCAAAGGTGAAGCCCGTGTCCTCGGGCGCAGTCCAGATGCCTTTGAGACAGCGAATGAACTCGTTGCTGCGACGATAGCGCTCGGCATGGTCCAGCCACCACTCACCAATGGCTGTAAACTCGCCCTTGAACCAGCCGCTCACGATATTCACGGCGATGCGTCCATTGCTATAGTGGTCGATACTGGCGATCTGCTTCGCCACCGTCGTGGGGTTCCAGGGCCCGGGCAGGATAGCAGCAATGATCTTGACTGTGTCTGTTGCTTGAAGAATTGCTTGCGAGAATGACACAGATTCGTGTTGATTTGCAGCGCCGTATCCAGAAGTGAAGCGAATTTGCGTCAAGCCATATTCGATACCAGCTTGTTCAGCTGCCTTAGCATATTTAACGTTGCTAGCCAGGTCCCAGTTTGTCCTCTGCGGGATCTTGCTGATGATCAGACCGCCTGAGACATTGGGTACCCAGTACCTAAATAATCAGCTGCTTGTATGAAACTTTGAGAAAAGGAGACATACGCGAAGAGCAGTCGTTCAGGGTCGGTATTGAGGCGATGTGGCTGAGCGGTCATTCTCGCTGAAGCTCAATGGAAAAGTTATGGTCGGCGACTGTAATTTGACAAGTCTAGCTCGATTGTGAGAAATGATGGATGTTGATTTTTACTTCAAGTCGGTATTGTTGAAGCAGGTTGACAATACAAATGATATTGGTCGAATGCACTCCGGAAGGGAGGGATAGCAAAAGGGCAGGCTCTCAAATCCTGGTATTAAAATCAATGACATGGCAACAGTGACAGAAGAGCAAATGTGATAAGTACGTATCAAATTATTTTCTTGGACCTACCGAAATGGAGCTTTCAGCTTGCTGGCGCGTTCTGCGCGATATTCTGAGATCGACATTGCGGAGGAAGTTCCGTCGGTTTGACGACGCTGGCGAAGCTATGCCTAGCTCTGACGTGATTTCAAAATACCACATTACGACGCATGCCGGAATTCAGATTGATACAATGGGAGCCAGTCACGGCACTTGAGGGCCCATTTGGTGCTGAGGAGAATAGCTACGTCCTTTGCCGTTCAACCGACCCCTCCAAATGAGGCAATTGCACCATTATCAACTCAATGACGAGATCATCAGATCCCAGTTGACCAGGGTTTCCCCACGCTACGATTGCTGCATCTACCCCAACATGGCGCGATGTGGGATTGAACCAAGATCTGCGAACTTTAATCCAAATCAATTGATTGAGAGCTCTCTGTGTTCTCATTACGATGGGCAATGATAGAGCAAAGTTTCGGGAAACTGATTGAGATCAAGGCCATGTCGTCGGGTTCGTAGCCAACTTCTCCATGATTTATCTCTTGAAGGATCCGATAGACAGACTTGCGGCTGCAATTTTTTCTCTTGTCATTCTTGTTCAAATTGTCTGGTCTGGTGTACCTCACTCCGACTTAGCACAATGTCCATCTATTCTTCAGCCCCTAATGGGGCTAGCGAAAAAGGGGTCGAGTCCGTAAAGCCGGAACCAACCTTTGAGAGATTCGAGAAGATCCATCATGAACCTCGATTCACCGCACCAAGACCGCTTCCTACGGCAGCAGTGAGCACCATTTTCCCTGGAACCGCAATCATTCCAAACGTTTTTACTGATCGAGAATTGCTACAGACCTCACTTCCGATCGGAGCTTTTTCTACAACCTTGACCACGCTTTCTCTAAGCTTAATGGAGTGGCGCGGAGTGACAACAACCAACGTTTACATCGCGAATTTCTTTTTCCTAGCTGCCTTCGGCTTAGTGATATCTGCGCAGTGGGAGCTTACCGGAGGGAACGGCTTTGGTTACAGTGTCTTCAGTGCTTTCGGTCAGCTCTGATGAAGTAACTTACAACGCTCGTTTTTACTGACAATCCGTGACAGGTCTCTTCTACGCAGGGTACGGTGCCATCTTGACTCCCTCTTTTGGGGTGGCAGCAGCATATGGCGATGACACAAAGCAGTTGAACAATGCTCTCGGACTATTCATGATCAGTGAGTGATCTCGCAGTCGTTTCGTTAATCACTCAAGACTAACGCAGCATCCTCACGCAGTTTGGAGCGTCTTTGTCCTTGCCTACTTAGTCGCTACAATACCGACAAATGTCGTCTATATACTGATCTTCATCTTCGTTGAATTATGCTTCGTACTGGTTGCTGCTAGCTACTTTTCTGCTGCTGATGGCCACGAGAGCGCCTCAATCGGGTTGAAGAAAAGTGGTGGCGTTTTCGCGTTTCTTGCTGGGCTTGTTGGATGGTAGGTTTCCCACCTGATTCTTATAACGATCTGCTCTGCTAACACAATTCAGGTATTTGACTTTCCATCTCTTGCTGAAAGACTCTTTGGTAGAGTTGCCGTTGGGAGACACGTCTCAATACTTCCCTAAGACTCGGAAGAAAACTGAGTGAGGTAGCTTCTCTGGACTCTAATTGGGACAAAGTGAGAAGATAGCACAAGACCTCCTCATAGACCTAAAGAACTGGGCATGGAATTATCACGGGTTCACCGGGATCGATGGTATTAATATTTATAGCTACAAAGAAGAAAAGCTTGATTGTAGCTGGTCTTTTGAAGCGACAGCAAATAAGATTTTAGCGGTAGAGGCCAGACGAGGAACACCAGACGTTTCCCAATCGCGAAAGCTACATTTTACATACCGAGTGTCAACTGGCGAGAGAATTAAATAAACTAACAATGTACGATGTCTTTTGTGTCACAAGAAGTGGGCCGCTCCTAGTGGGCAGCATTAACCTCATCTGTATCTCGTGACATTTTGTCTCCCATCCTTTCGGCTAGTTGGGTCGATGCTGCAGGGCGACGTTGGCGAACAACCTGCCTCAAGGTTTCGCGGTATTTGAGAGTCCAAAACTCAATTGAACGAAGTATCTACACTGACTATGAACCTTAATTGGTGGCTGCGAAGTTATTGCTGCAGAATAGCGCATATGATGCCATCCTCGTGCTACCTGACCCCTCATCAAAGCATTCTTTCCGACCATGTAGGTAGGTCAGAGATGTTGCCGAGATGTTGATACTTCAACGTCAGATAGAATATCTGCTCGATCACGAAAATGTTTGGAAGGCAAGTCTACGGAGTACATTGATAAGTACAAATATAAATAAGCTAGTATTGTGACCTTGTCCCTGCATGCCACATTATCTATCGGCCAAGGTTAGGGGGCCATATGCGGAGGTGAGAACTGTACATGTGCGCGTATCGCAAGTCAGTGCGATTGCGACATATCACAACATAGGTGTGGACCCTCGCGCCACTGCCGACGGCGGGACGGGGTACCGGCTATCGTTGAACCGTTCGACGACGGAGGCGGCACGGACGGGTGACGATGAGCATATTTAGATACATGTTGGCGCATTTTGTCTTCTCAAAATGGCCTTCTCAAAATGGATGCAAGACAAGATTCACTCCATCCTCCCGTGCGTCATTCAACCTTCTCCAGCTCATTGCGGAATTTTCCCGCTTTCGAGTAGTGAACCTCCTAACCTTAAGTTGGACTTATTACCACAAGACAAATCATCTGTTTCGAATCATCCAATAGCCTTGACTCAAAGAACGGTCAAAATGAGCAGCAACGCCCGTTCGGTTCCTGCAACGGACCCCAAAGTTTACGACGAGTATCAGCAGAAGTGGTCTTCACTCCCAACGAACGAAGCCGCGTGGCTCCAGAGAGCCGAAGACGTTGCAAACGTGCTAGCCGTAGATTCTGCACAGCGTGAGAGGGATAATAAGTCACCTAGAGCTGAGATCACGCTGCTGAAGTATTCTGGGCTGCTCAAGGTCCTGGGGTGGAAGAAGTATGGCGGTGGCGAACAACCGTGGAGTGTCGGCTACAAGGTGATACGCGAGGTTGCCAAGGGAGACGGGTGAGTGCTACACGTACTGAATATGAAATAACATGGGAGAATTGCTCACTGATTGACTTGCACAGATCAATTGGCATGCTTCTGGGATATCACCTGCTTTGGTCAACAACAGCCAATGTCATTGGTAGCTCAGAGCAAGCTGATCGTACCCAGGATCTCATCATCTCTAACAACTACTTTGTCGGTGGTGCTGTGAACCCTCGCGACAGCGACCATAAAATTACTTCAGACGGCGACAACGTCGTCTTCAATGGCTTCAAGAACTTCAACACCGGTGGAGTCATCTCCGACTTGACCGTCCTTGAAGGTGTTCTTGAGGGTACGGAGGACCACCTGTATGCGTTGGTAAAGACTGACCAGCCGGGCATTATCTTTTCCCACAATTGGGACAACGTTGGCCTACGTCTGAGCGAGTCGGGAAGCGTCAAAATCGAGAATGTCACTGCGCCATGGTCCGATGCGCTAGGGTGGAATGCGGCCGAGAAGAAGCCAGACGACTCCATCCTCAAGATTCCGTTTGCCAGTCTGCTTCTTCCCACGTAAGACACAAGAGTCCAATGACTCGATTTTCAGAAGTCCACTCTAATTATGGAATAGGATTCAACTCGTTTTCAGCAACTTCTACATCGGCATCGCCTGGGGTGCATTGGACTTTGCGTCAGCCTACACTAGAAAGAACACACGCGCTTGGCCATTCGGTGGTGATGTAAGTGCTATACTAGCTTTCTTCTAGTTATTAACACGGGATTCCTAATGCTAGAATCCAGGACAAGGAAAAAGCCGAGGACGAGTTTTACATTTTGTCCACCTACGGCAACTTCCTAGCTCACCTCCGAGCATCTGATGCACTTGCCGACAAGGCAGGTCTCGAGATTGATGCATTGTATAAGTACTCTGGAGACCCAGCGACTAGAGCTAAGCTCACTGCGAAGGCTCGAGGAGAGGCAGCTGAGTGGGTTGCTAGCGTCAAGGTTACGGCGACTGATACCGGACTTCGGGTTACATCTGGTGTGTTCGAAGTGACTGGTGCGAAAGCCACTGGAACCAAGGTAGGCCTTGACAAATTCTGGAGGGATATCAGAACACACAGTCTGCATGATCCTGTGTCTTACAAGAACCGTGAGCTCGGGAGATATCAGCTGCTTGGCGAGATTCCTGAGCCAACATGGTACACTTAGAGGATAATCGATAATCGAAGTAAACAGCGGTAGCATTCAGTCGTGATAGTACGCAGTTCAATGAATAGCGACATGGCAATGTGCGGCAACCTTGTTCAGATGGAAAATGGCATCTACTTGAGCATTCCTTCGTTGCTCCGGTCATATTCCCGCCAATGTAATTCGCGAGTTACTACATACGCGATGGCCGGCAACGGAGGCACTAAAGCGGAGGCGGACTCGGAGGTAACAGCTGGAATAGGAACGGAGATGCATTGGACATCATACCTGGACGTTCGTAGACCAACGTGCTGAGGGTTCACGTAAATGTCATTGAATGTGTCCTCGGCGTCGGTTTTTACTGGACTTATCCAGGGATATTTCTATTGGCAACTCAATTTTCTTGATCATTAACCGTCTGCACTCTTCCTAGGCATTTTTTTGGTGTACAACATTCCTCTTATGCACTTCGAATTATTACCGCACGGCCAAACGCTACTGGCATTGAAGACAATGTGCTCGACAAAAAACTCTCCAAGAAGCTCGTTCATTCAAATGTTGAACCGTTCATCCTGGTTTCTACTCTGACTTGACTGTCTCAACCCAAGGTACTACGATCGATCCTAGCAGTATCTGTCTCTATCACTATCGACACAGTTACCGATTTTGCTGCTCCTTGAGGGATTCCTTGGAATAAGACTTCTAAATTATTCTGATGAGCTGGTTACACGGATCGCAGTGGCAATGTGGTATAGCGGATTTATTACATGTGCATTGATTGGCAGGATATTTTGGTCACCCACCTCACTTCGTGAAGCCAACATGTCTTCGCGGCACGGAGTACTAGATTACTGTTGAGTCTCAAGAGCACAAAGCTTCTCACTCTTGCTCCAATGTGAAGATCATCTCCGAAGGGTAGCCATTGTCCACAGAGATTCCAGCGATTCCTTTGCCAACTGCCTGAGCCAATTCCGACGCCACCACGCCGTAAGGGCTAGCCATCAGCATATTCCAGCCCTTCGTCTCACCGAGGTCGTTAGTCGTAGTGAAGCCTCCGGTACTCTCTCCAAGCTCAGTGCGGGCGTTGCTAATTGCGGTTTGAGTCGCGGGGTCGACAATTTCGGAAAACTTGATGAACTTGACCTGGTTGATACCAACTTCCGTGGCTGTCCACAGCTGTTCGATGATTGAGCTAAGACTGAGCCCAGTCGGAGCCTGGCTTGCCCATGCTTCATTGGCAACAATCCTGTATCCGTACACATCGCAGAGGACCTTCACAATAGCCTCTTTGCCGTTTGTGAACCCATCAGTGTAGATTACCTTCCAGCGTCCAAGATCTTTCACGGAGTAATCTGAGGATGACCCTTCGCCAGTTGCGCCGCCCTCTCTCGCTTTGAAGGTGAGTTCGTATCGAGTAGACTCATCCGCTGTACCTGAATTGTGGAATGCTTGACGCATGTCTGCCTTCTTTGCCGGCTTCCCAGGAGGCTTCAACAGCTCCGTGCGCGTATCGGTGACATTGAAGCCCTTCGGCGGTCTGGGCCGGGGCTCAGTGGGTTCGACGGTTTCGGACACATTGCCCTTGTACCAGTATACTGCACCTCCGTTGCTGAGTCCGAGAGGAATGAGAGAGTTGATGTCGATGATAAGACCACCCTCTTCCTTCGACTCTCGCAGCACGCAGTCTGCGATAGACTTGTCTGAGCGTGAATCGTATCCACCGCGAGGCAGAATGTAGCCGACTTGATCGAAGTTGCCGTTGGCTGGAATCATCCAAATGTTGTCTTCTTTGTCGTAGCCAACAACACCGCAACGGATACGGTTGCCAGTGGCTTTCTGGAGTACTGTGAACAACATTAGCTTTGGGATACGGCCTTGGTCTCGGTGGCAGACTGGTGATTGGGGACTTACCAGAGCCATCTTTGTCGCCACCGTCAACCACATCATCGGGAAGATACCATGGGTCAACCGTTCCAATCGCTTTCCAGACAGTTTCGCTGTCATCTCCAGGGAGGAGATCTTCAACTTGAGCCTTCACAGCGACCAGGCCGAAAGCGCCCCAAAGAGCCAGCTTTCGAATGTTGAACATGGAGTGCTGCATACTGGCCCGGGTTGATAATACTCGAGAACAACTCTTCGACGTCTGACTCAACTGATGTAGGCCATCAAAGCTCGGGAACCTGAGACTATTCGTATATGGTCTTTTCCGGACCAGATCCGTGCATCTTTTCAGATAATCTTAGATCTCATTTGTCAATAATCAACAGGACTAGGCTTAGGGCCACTCCGACGTAACCTTCTTTTAGTGCTCCTAAGAATATCCGTACATTCACTTTGATTGTTTTGGCATTACTTTATTTGGGTTCCCAGAGGAATAGAACGAAACTCGCACGCCCTATTGGTAGACCAGTACCTATAAAACGCTATTTCCTTGAACACAGGGTAAGTTAACCGTGATCGGTAATGCCATTGGGGCCTGGCTGACTGGGCAGTCAATTTGAGATTGCCTATGGGTCCTCGTAACGAATGTGTGTTTTAGTCTTTTGGTCGCCTTACTTCGTTTCCCCCGCCAGAACCACCGTTCGTGCTCTTTACCACCTTGGCATTCTGACTAGACTTAATGAACAAGTCTCCGGTTCGGATATAGCCGCGTTTATAGTTTCCAGCGATCAATACAGCTACGCTCCACATCTAATGCGGCTCACCCGGCTATCAAAGAGTCGCCAGGTAATTACTTGAGAAGCGCTGTTCCCAACTTGCCAAGGGCCACTTGAAGCCAAAATAAAGTTTCCTGGTCCCGAGATGCCGATGGTAAGTGACTGAGCCTCTCAGTATGCCGGTGAAGCCGCGCTCCTTTCTTCGACTCCATCATCAGCTGCCCCATCAACCCAGCACTATGAGTTACATAATCTTTTGATAACGACCTGTGATCTTTTTATTCATGATCAGGCCATGTCACAGCGCGTTAGTCTTATGTAAACAGCGCATGCGGACTGTCGAAACAGTCGTCCCAGGTGTTTCCAGCAGAGGCATAGAATCTTTCGAGTACCTCCTTGGCTGCGACTGGAAGATATACTCCCATCCTTTCACTATCTTCTTTCATACGCCTCAGGACGAAACTCCGCGTCGATGGATTCCCAATCTTCGCTTCAAATCCAGCTACGATCATTGGCCATGTGGTGCAAATCTTTAGCGCTGGAGAGGCAAGCGAGGCCTTGAGAAAAGCAAACAGCCTGTCGCTATGCGTATCCTTGACAGTCATCCAGTCCTTTGATAGAGGAATGACTTTGACACTCTGTAACGAAGAAACACCGAATAGCACCACGGCAGACCGATAGGTTTTGGCCATTAAGAGATGCCCATCTACGAGAGGTTCCGTGCTACTAGCCCAGAGTTCCAGTGAATAGTCTAGAATTTTATCCAGAAGACGCTCTGCTTCAATCCTAATCGAAGTGAGAGACCCTTCAGATTGACTGCATGTTGCTTGGAAGCGGAGGCGGTTGATGTGGATTATATCGATGAGCAAGTTGACTGGGCATGGAAATTGGGGGTAATATCCAATTGAGAACACGCCCCTTACCACGTTCCTTATTCTATAGTTGGCGACTGGGGACACTTGATCGTGTGCTGGGCTGGTCGTGTTGGCAAGATTTTCGATTCTGGGTAAAAGAGTTAATAGAAAGATGACGTATGCCGTGATTACAACACCAAGTATCGCCAAGATATCCTCTAAAGGCTGCAAGATGTTGCACAGACTGAAGCACTCACATTTTACAGAATAATACCAGAGACTTTAGATGGGGCGACTTTTGGCAGAACGCACCCCAGCCACCACGCAAGGCAATCAACGCAGCGAATCCACTCAGGTGAACACGCCAATTTGGCTCCGTTGCACTCCCCATGAGCTACGTAATATCAGTGTCAGGTTGATTATCAATGTGACGACATTGTTTTTCTTACATCACCGAAGAGGAAAACAACTACACCCGCCAGAGTCGCATCAGAGCACCGCGTACTCTCGTTTTCGATCTCCTTGTTTAAGGCCTGGATTGCTGTGAGACGGTGCTGGTAGGCTCTAGCTCTGACCTCAACTGCGTAAGCGTCATTCCGTGCCGGCGATAGGCGCGACATCCGGTGCTGGATAGCCATGGTGACTAGCCCATGTCGTCTGTAGGGCTTCATCGCATGTATGTTTGAAATAGGTACGACCCATGGGCTCTTAATGAGCTGATTCTCGTAGAAGTACGGGTAAACCTGTTCGTTCCCTATGGATACCGAGGTATTCGTCAGCCTAAATCTCTCGTATACTCAAGTGAATACATCGGGATTGCTTGGTTCTGTAGCACGATTTGGAAGTCTGACTAACAGTAGACCGAAGCCTCAGCAATGTCACACGTTTCCGTCCGGAGCTCTTGTCCGGGAAATACATGGACGAGCTGTACCTTGTGACCTTCTTCTTCTTCAGGGGTCGTTGGGATCGCCTTTTTCTTCCCGCTACCTTTCTTGTCGCTACCTTTCGTGCCCTTCTTGGCGATGTCGATTTTGTCAGTTTTCGGTTTTCTGCCGCCCCTCCATGTCTGTGTCGTGACCTGATTAGGGGCCACCCAGGTCAAAGGCTTCACATTCTCATACCCGGGGCACACTATGCCGCTAAGCTTACATTTAGAACAGACGGGACGGTTCGAGTCGCAGACCAAGCGCCGGCGCTGGCATTCCCAGCAGGATCGCCTAGCGCTACCGCTACCAACGCTCTTGTCGTCGGGGCTTTGTGACGCACCAGTGGAGGAGGGCGGCTCTGGTGCTGGCGCCATCGATCCGACTAGAAAGCGGGAAAGTGAGGGGAAATACTTGTACGTTTTGGGTTATTGGAGGTATTGATAGGAATCGCCCGTATATATTGGCGGCCCGGGGTCATTTTGTAGGACGTGTACCTCCTTGGGGCGGGAGACCTACCCGTGTAGAAGAGGGGAAACCATGCGGACACTTGTGACTGGCGATGAGAGACATTCGGTGGATACGTGCAGCTCTTGGCTGATTCCTTCTGCCAACCAGGCAAGGCCTAGCAGACAGCTTGTGTCTCTAGCATTGTCCGGGTACCGACTGCAAGGGTCCAACAGACGCCCGATTGTGCGAGGAACGATGGTTTAAATAAAGAGAGAAGAGGAGAAATCAAACGGATTGCAGCACAAAGTACTATTTGAACTTTTTACTCACACTGCGAGATTATGTGCGTGTTTCTGACCAGATCGCTCCATAAACCAAGGTCGCGATAATGCGTGTTGGTTTCTTTCCGAACTTGAGCGATAATAGTTCAAACAAAGCCTGCCGCATCGGCCGTGTAACATGGTGGCGCAACCTTGGCTTCACTAAAGCACATGATTCGTCAAATCTGTTTCTGACTGATATGAGAAAACACCCGATACTTTGAGGTAAGCCTACTATGCAAGTATGGATGAAGGTCAGTGTCGACGAAGTCTGTGTTCCATAACACATCTATCATACCATTTCTGAGAAGAAATTTCGTAACAATCTACTTTCACTCGGCTTACTCAACGGGAAGCAAACTACTCAACGAGGAAGTGTCATAAGAATATTGGGGGGATGGAACCGACTAATCAGAAGCAAAGGTTGTGAACAAGACGTACAATTCCAAAAAGGAGACAACTAGTCTACGCAAATTCAGCTTGAGAAAATTCTAGGTCACAAGAACACGTAGGCAAGAGAGAAAATACTTGTTTCCAATCAAGGAACGTTCTGTTTTGGATTATCTTGGTGGACAAATGGCGCGGGAGCCGGCCTTGATCGGACAGCTTTGAAGTTAGCAGAAAAATGGCTGTATTGAGAAAAGTGACCTTTAGCACCCAAAAGTCCTCGAAAGACGTCCAGGATCAATCTCAGAAGGTCTGTACATGCGATAACGGCCGATGTCTGTATGCAGAGAATAAACAGATGATGAGTTCGGGCCATCAGATCAGGTCACTATCATTCAAGGCCAATGCCGTAGAGAAGGTAACAGGTTAGTAGGTAGGCCTGCTTCCGCTGTCAAAGTCAGTGAGATTCTTGATAGCAACAACTAGAAGACAGTCAACCGCAGTCTCTATAGAAATCGGCCATGCGTAGAGGGTCAGTCGGTCTTTTGCACATTGCCGCGCGGGAAAGGACTGACGGTCTGCCCTGCCAAGGATCGGCAAAATCTGTAATTGGCAAGTTGTATCCGTGTCGATCAGCCCAAATAGCTTCGTCTCTCCGGGGCATGACACATGCCGGCCCATACCCTTTGAGTAGCTCAAGGTAGGTACGGTATGAATAGAGGCTCAGAGATCCGGTCTTGGCATTGCCTGGAAACTTCTTTGACTGGCATGTCTCAGCAGACAGCCATTTTGCTGCTAGTCAGTGATAAAGAAACGATACTCTGTTACTCTTGCAGGTCTCCTGGTTCAAATGATGGCAGCAACGCTCTGGAGGTAGCAGCTTACAAGTCACACGGCCGGGATTGAATACCAAGGTAGCAAGAATTCCTCCTTTACGGAGAAGTCCGACGTGGCCTGTTGCCCACCAAACTATCACGCAATAAGGGTACAACTTTCTTGGCTACCGGAGGTAATTCCAAACTTGTTTTTGGGGTGTTCTTGAGGCAGTGCAAATACCAATGGTATTGATCTCAGCACACCCATGTATTTGAGACACTGCGCAATGGCCATCACTAATAGAGATACTGTACAGGAAGGGGTCATCAAACGGCATGCTAGAATCACAGGAATATTACGAAGTGTTTCTTGAGAACTTGGATGATGTTAAACATTGCGATGGTATTTACTTAAGGGAACGGATAGGATTTTCCATAAGTTGGCTGACCTTGTCTAGTATACCCAAGTATGACCTGAAAAGAGAGCACACTTCCAGACTAAGGACGAGAACCGAGAGCGAATGCATGGCACTATTTTCCGATGGACTGGATAAATGCAAAATTGGCCAAAGTGTATGTGGGTAAAGATTCGCCCGCCCCTTACAAGTGTGCTTTGTACGCGGAACGGCTCCGACGAGGGCCTTGTCGGTCAAGGTT